GTTTTACACCGACTTTCCCCACATCTGTTCTCACTGGCTGTTTTCCTTTAAACACACTCACACAGAGATCAGATGACAACACATCTGTCTGATATTCCCGTCTTTGGATTCTGACAAAAAAAGCAGGATGAAGCCAAACGCAGGTACAATGTGGTCAGACTCCTGTGGGTTTGCGGCGTCAGATGCTCACACTCCCTCCTTCTCCTTTAGCACCAGCACCACCAGGCGCCCCGGGGCCCTGACAGAGATGATATGACATACCCCCCCCCCCAAAAAAAAAACAGAGAGGAGAGGTGGGGGGTGATGAAAACAACTTCCCCATCAGAAAAAAAAAAAAAAAAAACGCCTGTGTTTTACATCTCTCTCTCTCACAACGACAGCTTCAGGGACAGTTTATCTGTGAGAGACAAAGACACTTTGACACTGTCAGCTTCTGTCACGCTACCAATGGCTGCTGGTGAGGAGTCGCTACAGCAAAGCGGCCTGTTCCCCATGTGTTGATCTGTGTGTGTGTGTGAATCTGAAAAATAGAAGACTCTTTTGTGTGTGTGTGTGTGTGTGTGTGTGTGTGACTTGATGTCTAGAGGCCTTTATGATAATGAATGCTAGGTCTTCCCCGACTAAAATGTATCAATAAATAAAACATAGGAAACACTCTCACCGTTGCGGTTGATTCGCACTCAGAAAAAGGTGTAGGGCCTCTCCACGGCTCGCTGCCACTTTAAGGGAGTGTAGCTTTCGTTCTGAGACAAATATACCATCATAAACACTTAAGATGAACAATCCACCTGAGACTGTGAAGAAGCAGCCCTTTTATCCACAGAGAAGTACTACTATACATAATTAAGAGAGGAAAGTGTACAGATTTAATTGGAGTGTTGTTGATAATCCTGATTAGCGTTATTAGCTAGTTTTTTTTTTTTAAAGATGACTCTGAGCCATATTAACAGGACGTGACTTATTAATCAGGCAGCTGTTAGCTTTAGCTCTTCAGAGGAATAACTGCGAGGTTTAGTGTTTGCATTGTCACTAAGCTATGGGGAAGTTCATGTTTTTAAAAAACATACATTTTCATTTCATTTCATTTCAAATTTAATTAGAATTAAGTTTATGTTTATAAAATACACCAGAATGACGCATGTACTTTTTTTTATCTCACATTAATATCGTTAGCCTCTTAGTGTCAATTCATATTTTAAGGTTTTTGGAAAAACACATTCCATTTTAAAGAAACACACAACCTTTTTTTATTTAAACTGTAACGTGTGTGTGAACAAGTGTCTTTAAAAAAAGACACAATAAACCAGCAGTGTTAAGAGAGTAGCGCAGTGGCTAACGAGGCTAACAATATATTAAAATACAATAGACACTGTATAAGAAATATAACAGATCATTCTCATCTTTGCATTTTTTCAATTTTTGACACATTTATGTTTCTTTGTTTTTTTTTCCTCCAACACCACAGGTCAGTTTTTGGGTCTTAGCCCCAGGTTCAAGGTTTACTCACAGGTGCAGTTTGACACGAAGGCTCGGCTCATTCCATCCTGCAGGCTGCACTTCTGATCTTCAAAGACAACCTAGAAGAAGAAGAAGAAGAAAGAGAGCAAATAATGATTACCAAGAAAACACCCGTGGATGTTTATTTCCAGAGGCAGAGTATTTAACGAGAGAGAAGGGAATAAATATGTTGCAGTTTCTAAAAATGCAATTAATGCCAAATATAACATTTGGTGATGTAGTTTAACCTTTTTTATTTGCCGTGAGTTCTGTGCCTTTCTGCATACATTTATTTTTGACAGGATGAATTATTTTTATTGTGGGATGTTCTGTACTGTCAAATTAAAAATAATGAACAGGTGTGCTTCCAATCAGACTCAAATCAATCTTTTACCCTTAAAGTACTTTTGTATTTTATGTAGTTAGGTTTTTGTGACCAAGGTCAATTTGGCCCAAATTTCATAGAGGACGATTTTTATTTTTAGTGTGTAACATTAACAGTGTAACACAGAACTGATAATGTTCTTTGAATAACAATCAAAACAAAGCAGGGTCATTCAGGGGACATCATGATGGTTCACCAACAAAGTCCACTTTAAGATTCATTTTCTCAAATTCTGTGCAATTTTCCAATATTAAAAGTAAAACCTATCCTATAATAATACAACCAGGTAAAACTGAGGACACGTTTACAATAACATACACAACTACAACACATGCTGCTATGATACATACATTACTCTACACGTCACGTGACAACGTCCTAGTATTTACTGGTTATTCGTGGATTAGTATGTGACGCGCCTGAATGACAGAGTGATCATATATAGCTCTGACTGGAGCTGCAGCTTTAGTAGACCCCTGAAATCATAGTCATACTGCCCCCTGTTGGTCAAATCTAAAATTACAACAACACTGCCTAGAGTGATGTGAGTATTGGCATTTCACTTTGACTAATGACATTCAGAGTTGCTACTAGAATTAGCTGTGATGTAATTACTGACGGGGGCTAAAGGACTTCATCATTCTGCTGCTTCGGTTTTTTTCTAACCAGCTTTGAGTCATTTCAAACATTCAAACGTGTGAATGCTGTGAGATAGAGAGTAGTTCCTGTCATAGAACATTTACACAACTGTTGATCCGTATCATTTTCAAAGCCTTTACCTCTTCTTCAGGGACTCCTTCAGTTCCTGCTCTGTTGGTCTGGTGACTCCAGTGGTGAGTGCGTTTTTATTTATCATTGATGAACTGTAAGGGTTCTACCGTCTGTATCCAACTCTGTAGACAAACTAAAAAGACAAATGAAGTGAGAGAAATGAATTACAAACAAAGTAAGAACTAGACACACATTCAAATGTCAAAAGTTTAAGTCCTTACTGATCAAAGTGCTATTTTGTAGTTGCTACAGGTTAAAAATAGGAACATTTTATAGGGGAGGGGGAGGGAGATTTACTGGTATAAATGTTCCAGTGACTGAGAGGCCTGACAAGAATAATGAGTGGCTAACTTCTTGGAGGCATGAAACGAGTGGCTGAATCAAGAAACTGGTCATGTTTAGGATATTGCTATGATTGAAACCAGATGGTACTTAGAAAACACACACTTTTCATTTTTCATTATGCTCTCATTTGGTAAAGGGTCCACGGCGAAAAAATCCCACTCAGTTCAAGTCTCGAGTCTTAAAAACCGTGTCAAACTGCCGACATTCAAATCCTCAATGGAAAGTGAAGAAGAAAAGAGTGAGGGCTATAGTTTTATGAGAAAACTGGCAACTTTTCCACACTTTCCACTGTCAACCAAACTTTCAAAGTCTGATGAGAAAATGCCCCAAAGATTCAGGCCAAGTTCATTTTTACCCATTCACTCAAATCACATTCAATCAAAGGCCAGCACATACAGAGAAACCACCAAGTGGAACTGGTCTTGAATATAAAGCCGTTTACCACCTCCGAGCACCCATGTAATGTGTATGCCTATGCACACACAGGCACCGTCCCCCAAGGGCTGAGGTGATGGTTTGGCAGGAGATCATGAGGAACAGGTCAACGTGAAGAAACGAGAAAGGCAAGGCAGACGGAGTAGTCAAAAGAAACCCAGAGACGTCTTTGAATCCAGTGGAATTCCTCTCCTCCTCCGCCGCTCCTCCGGGAGGCGTCAGGAGCCTGTGGAGAGAGCGAGGTAAGACGGGGCCTGTCAGGAACAAAGCTCCAAATTCACATGATATGTTTAGCTAAAAGGGTGAAAGAGAAATGAATCAAAGCTTAGTGGGATCAAAGAAACACAACAATAAAGTCAAGGCGGTTGCCATGGGACCAGCAGGAGATGCATATCATTTATAAGTTGTTCTTGGGCTCTGTCAGATGTGCAGGGAATTGATTGTTATTGTTTGGAGGATGAACCGCAGCTGGAGGGGGTGAGGAGCAAAGGTCATCATCGCACAGTGAGCGGAATATATCGGCTGACTTGTTTTAAACAGCGGCCGCCTGTGATCCGGGTCGAAGGTCGCTGCAGAAGCACCTTCAACGTGTGATAACACGCTAGGAGACAGACACAAAGACAAGTTTGTCAACCCCATAAATATCTCTCCGACACAAAGGCTAAACATTTGTTTTGCATCTTCCTCTGTCAGAGGTTACCATCGTTGTCACTCTTTTAAAGTGGAATCAAACAGATTTTGGCTGTAAAGCGAAGACTTTCATTTTTATTCACACAGCGTAGTTTTCACATGAACAAGACTGAAGCAACACTGTGGTAAGACTGGAGGGGTTAGGTCCACGGGGTCATTCAGACATTCTACAGAATACCTCTATTGTATGTGCCCCTTAGTTACCCTTGTGGTGTAAAATGGAACTTTTTTCACTCATGATACCTTCACACCAAGAGAACATACTTACGGACACCTATAAGAGCCACTCATGGCACTCGAATGCCCTGTAAGAGAAAAGTAGAAATACAATGTCAAGATTAAAGTTGAATTTTAATGTTGACTTTTTGAGACAAACAGTGCTTCTACAAAATGCCTTGCACGCCTATCGATGAACTGTTGAATCTGAATCAGCTTCAGCAACAAAGAAGTTCTTGCTCCAAAAACATAGCATTGTTATCAGGAATAGGACTTTGAAGATACTGCTGCGGAAACTTTGACTTGTTTGAAGGATAAACCACACATGCCTACAAGAGAAGATTCGACATTGTACTTTGACTTGATTCTCTAACTTTGTATTTCAACTTTTTCCCAATCGATTCTGAATAAAAATGCCCCCCCCACCCCCATTAGAAGGAGATACATTCGTACTCCTTGAAAAAAAGCAAAACAAAAAATACAGAATCTTTCTCCTCATTTTTTTTCTCCTGCTTGGCCCTGATCTGCTTCTGTACATTGTCTAACAATATTCTGGCATCTGTCTGTGCCTTTTGTTGGCACTAGATGGCAGCCTCCACAATGCAAAGCCCTTGTATTAATAACTATAATAATAATAATAACAATAACAATACTACCATTCAAATTAAGCTGTCATTTAATAACAATTATCACTTTTTAAATGTCTGCTCATAAAACATCAAACTGTGTGCCATTAAAAACCCAACTGTAATACATTATTCATGTACGTGTGTTACAGTATATTTTTGGAGGAGAAACCAGAATTATCTTAATAGTTATACCACAATAGGAAGAAACATTATAAAAAATAAAGGGTCTTCATATTTTACTACTTATTCCATTCCAAAGTAGCCAAGAGTCTGGCAGTCATCAGGCAAAAGTGAAGGACACCCTGGTCCCTGGATCAGGTCCTCAACAGTACAAAAAACCCTGTTATATCCAGACAATGGCCTTGATAGTAACATTACTACAATATATCATTTTTTTGTGGCTATGAAGTAAAAGGAAATATCCAGATCATTTTGTACAGAATCATGTGACAAAATACACAGAAAATGTGAAAATTACATTTTAGGCCAGATGGACTAATTGTCTCATAATACAACACAGAATAATCCTAATTATGTCAGAACAAGTCATTTTAATTTTAATGTACCTGCATGTAATTAAACACAAATGAAAGGGTTTTCCATATGTTCACACACTTTCCGAAATACTGCCATTTGATTGACGTGGCAGTGATCATTCATCATTAGTGTTTTTGTATGTGCAGGTGTCTGTGGTTGGGTGTCTATGTGGTTGGGTGTCTATGTGGTTGTGTGTGTGTGTGTGTGTGTGTGGTGTGTGTGTGTTGGTGCAGAGATGAGACCCAGTCTGTCTGCTGCTCTCTCAGACTACACCCACGAGAGATCCCAAAATAACAACAAAGGGCCCTCAGTGGATCTGATGAAAGCCCTGTCACCAGCCATTTCAGCACAGAGTCTCCTCCCCTACTGTATCTCTGAGTGACACCTCACACATCACACTGAGACAGGAGGGGGAGACACAATTCCTCTATTTGACCGCAACAAATATTACCATATGTTAATGAGACTGTCGTAGGCTTTTAGCAGGTGGGTCTTGACTCTGGGCTCACTGATGTTATCACGGCTAATGTTTTCATATTTATAGGTCAAAGAGTGGAATTAATTGTGTCCAGGTGAATTATAGTAAATTATATGATGCATTTTAGGATATTGCACATTGTGAATTGCATACACATGGTTCTGGCAACTGTTACTGAAAGAAAATGAAATACTCCTTAAGCTCTATTTTAGAGCACTTTTGGATTTCAAGAGCTCAGAGGAAGAGAACAGAGCAGTCTGAAGAACTTAAAGTACATAAAAAAATAAGGAAATCACTTCTGGATGCATACATTACAAAGTAGGTCTATAAAGACTTTCCTGACAGTCTCATTGTCTACATATTTGTGTTCAGAACATAATGGCATTCATTTAATCACATTTAGAAAACATAGAGGTTAACTGTAACTGGGTCGTAGAATGTGAGGGGACACCTGGAGTTATTGACGGATAGCTCAATTTCCAAATAAAGCTGCGCGAAAACAGATCTTCAAAGAAATAATACACAACTATCAAATTCTCACCCAAAATGCCATTTTAAGATACACAAAAAGTTTCTCACTGGTTCAACAGGCTTATGCATATAGAGTAAATGAACAGCTATATGGAAAATTAGGCATTTTATTAACTTTACCTTCAAACAAAAAATAAATTAGACGTTGTAGAAGGAGTTACCTCAAAAATCTGCAACCCTGGCAGCTACTGATTGTTACATTGTTACTTGCATGATGAATACATAGTCTGTGGTCCTTTATCTAGAGATGGACTCATTATTCTCTAAACACACAGACAAAATAAATACAGTTTTTAGGGTAATGTGCTTTAATATTAACAATTATGTTTTGTCTTTAAATCCAAGAAAATAAAGCCCATTCTTGACAATGTTTGTCCTTTTACAGTCAGAACCAGCAATTAGACTCAGAAAAATCTGATCCATGTACTAGTACTGATGTCTTTGAAAGAAAAACACACACACAAAAAAAAAACCTACCAAGAGAGACGGGAAAAAACTCCAAAAGGCAGAGAAAGACTCCGTTGTTATTTCTAACAGGTAGAAGCCCTGGGGTTATTTTTCCGCTGCCTTGAAACAAATCAATGAAGCACGACTCACTTTGAACAATTGCACATTTGCTGAAATCAGATGTGGGTTGAGGAGCCAGTCGTCATAACACTGATTGTGTTTGTTGACAGAAGAGGCTCTTTGAAACAAACAAGCCTGTTCTTTGAAACAGGTGCCTGTGCATGAGCTGAGTTTAGAGAAGTCATTTAGAAAGACTAACTGGTTTGAGGATGTTTGTTATTCTGCCATGCAACCTCAGTGATTCTGTGAGTCACAAAGAGACTCACAGCACAAACAGTGTTGTGTGTATTCTTCATCAATGATAACTGTACGGGTGTATGTAGATGTTTAAAGGAAAATAACGCATATAATCTCATAGCATTCAGTAAAACTTCAAAAAAGTCTGCATTATTAGTCAACGATGCCCCCAGGTGGAAATCCGAGGTATTGCATTATGTTGTACAACGAATTTTTATATGACAAACCAATGTACGCCATGAATCTGAAGAAACTTTGCACTTATTGTTTTTGTCGGAATATAGTTTTTTGAGGTGTAAGCAGATTTTTGTTCTACCAAATAACAGAAAACATGACTGTACCCTGGTGTGTTTGGAGCACCATAAACAACAACAACACAGTTCACAAACCCCAGCATATCCTGCCTGTCGACATATGGAAGTGTTTTCCAATGACTATCTACTAGCAGCAAATGGACTTAAATCAGTCATTTTAATATCAAAGCACTTAACACTAGATGATGATTACTTGCAGGTGGACATGCATGCTGCTTGTCAGTACTGCAGTTGAAGAAAATGACTGAGCTCTTATCCGACACGTACAGTACACTCAGTGTTCAATGGACTAGATCACGTTACATGAGATTACTTTGGAGTTTCAACTATTTTTTTCCAAATTACACTGGCCTTTGGTTTCTGGTAAACTTGATTGACTTGAATGGTTTTCATTAGAGGGCCTCGCCGAGCAGAGCCGGGGCCTTTATCTGTTGATGCTTGTACACAAAAGTTGAGGGTGAATGGGTGCAGCCTGTAGCCTGGAGGTGTGAGGATATGCAAATCTTTTTCATAGGAGTGCTTCGTCATAGTTCCACCATCTGTGTTTAAGCTGCCATTTGGTGTCACTTCTTCACAAAGAACTGACATGTAACACGATGAATGTGTAGATCTGAACAATGGTATCTCACTGTGTGGTGTTTTGATGCATTCGGTGTGTTAACAATAACACAAACCTCATGTGAGTTCTCCTAGCTGTCATATTTGAACTTCAGAGTAACCTCCCCTCTGTCACTCCTCATTGGGGGAGAAAGCAGTAAGTCATGGAAATCAGTTAGATGTCACCAAGAGCCAGATCTCAGACTGACAAGAAAATAGCCATGAATAACTTGACCACCCTTATTACCCCTCCAGGAAAATACTTAGAGATGGATCCAGAAATGAGGAGTAATCCAGATACACTTTGACTGTCACAAAGAATAAGACGTATTTATCCTGGCCAAGGCTATAACCACATTCCCATGAAGTTCTTTGGCTGCTGTACCTGCTTTAAGCTAACATCCAGTGAGCTTTCCTGCATTAACGAATGAAAAACAGACATTAAAAGCACAAAATATTACCTAATACTAATTAAACGACGACACATTTAATACCAAGGTATTCTGTCTACCACTCTTTGTGAAAATGAGTGACAGAATTAAGTTTATCGAAACAGTTCTTCTAAAGACGTGCGCGGTGATCTGCGGATTTGCGGTGCCGCCCAGTGGGGGATTAGTGTCATAGCAACAAAACGACGTCCCGTGTTTTACAGGAAAAACAAAATCTGGCATACATTGTTGCCGAAGGTCAAATATCACTTTGGATGTGAGCTGCATATTCTGTCAATGAACCTGTGACATGTAAATTGCTCTCTCAGCTCTTAGCGGTAGCTTTACTTCAGGGGAGAAAACCAGAGACATACTGAATAAGACCATTTTAAACAGGAGACAAACAAAATAATCCTGTAATTTAACACCTTTTCCATTCATTTATACCTGAACAATCAATGTTTTGTTCGGTAACCCAGTACCTAGCCTTATATTGACCTGCGTGCACTCCTACAGTGTCTTCATTAAAACCACCAAACGCATCATGAAGACAAAAACACAACAATGACCACAGATTAACATTTAGCGGAAAAAAATTGCAGTAGGAAAAAATGAGTGATTGTGCTGGCTATCGTCCTCATGTCATCAGTGAAGTTGAGGTAAACATGAAGTCATGTCGGAAAGTGAACAAGAATGACTTCCTGTTTAGATTATAATACTACTTAGCTGTCATTATTTCTTCTTTAATCATCAGAACCGAGTTGCATTCACAATGCATAATCACAACGGCAGCTCTTAGTGTTCTAACAGCAGGACACACACGTTTCACTGCCACAGCTGTCGGCCAGCTGACCTCAGAGAGTGGACCGTGAGAGAGTTCTCAGACTGAGACATGATTGCAGCATCAGTTACATTAAGTTCAGCAACTTCCATGGGTTCCAAGGGTTCTTTCTCTTATATCATATGAGTAAATTCAAAAAATTGGCCAATTTATTAGGTACAGCCTGTAGTGCTGCGTTGGACCCTGCTATAGCTTTGTCATACAATCCAATGTAACAAAATAACAAAAAATCATAATGTGCATTAATTATCTGCTACATTTTAATGGCAAGACAAGTGTCTAAAAAGTACAGAGTGTGGACCACACGGATCTTCCCAAATCCATGTTTGCTGAGCATCTCCTTGTACCTGTACTCTGTTCTCTCCTCTCCCTCAGTCTGGACAAGCATGTTGAGAGACTGCAGAGCAGAATACGGTGTCAGGTGGTCCAACATGGCCTCTGCTATAAGGACTGCATCTCCTACAAACCCAACAGTAGAGAACTCATTAAGAAATTACCCCAAAAGAGAGAGATGATAGTGGATGTTGGTACTGAATTGGAAAATCTGTTTTTACATCAACCAGCAGACTTTGTTGTCCCTTTCACAGTTAGATATTTAAATATGAATCAAACTTTGTAAGTATGAGATAAAAGATAAAAAAGTGTTACCTGGTCGGCATGCGCTTGCAACTTTACTGAGCAGAACGTGGACCTTCTCATCAGACCAATCATGAAGAATCCTCATCAGGATGTAAAGGTCCGCTTTGGGCAACTCATCATTAAAGAAATCGCCTGACCGTAAATAGAAACAAATTAAAGATGCATTGTTGTAGTGTCACTGCTGTCAAAACAGATCAACTGACCTGCTACGAAAGAAACCCTGTTGTCTGCTGTCTCTGGGCGGAAAAGTTCACTCATTTCGACAACAGCTGGAAGATCGAACACTGTCACAGACATTGCAGGATGAACTTTGGTAAACTCGTAGGCCACAGCACCTGTGCAACCTTGTGTGGATAAAAAAAACACATTAAAGTTTCTGCTTTGATTAAATGAACAGTTCATCGTGATGTCCTATGATGGTCCTCCTGAAGCAGGGGAGTCCAAACTTTCATCACAGAGGGCCACTAAACTATTTAAGATTTCCATTTTTATGACTTGTGCTGCTGACGTCTTAGCCGTGTAACCCATGTGAAAGGTGGTTAAATACAGGAAATATATAAACAATATAAAATATGATTGTGTCAAAAAAAAAAATCACTCCTTACCTCCAAGATCACAGGCAGTTTTATAACCAGAAAGGTCGAAGGCGGTGGCTATATCCTTCCCAGAAACCTTTGCTATGCTGTGCATGGCTCTCATGAATCTCAGTTTCACTTCTCGACTCTCGTAGTAAGAATCCTTTAATTAGAGGTATGTTTATATGTTTATGTTTATATTTTCTGGCATAATCATTTCTCTGTTGTACGTCTAAACCTGAAACTTGAGGGTTATCACCTGAAACAAGTCTTTTGATTTCTTGCCAAAGGCTTTCTCATGCTGGTTGGTACCTTCCCGCACAGCACTCTCCAGGTGGGAGAAAAGATGCCACACCGTGGTATTAAAGTGCTGGATGTATGCGTGTAGTGAGTAGGGTGCATCGGAGCGCAGGAAACGCTCGGCCAGAGCTGTGTTCTCATACACAGGCTTGTGGGATGCTGAAAAGTATTTGAAACTTGATTGTGTGTGTAGTATTGAGCAGTGCAATTACACTGCTGTATTATAACTCACAGACAATGCTCAAAATACAAAAGTAGTAGTAGTAGTATATGTTTGTGTATATATATGTGTGTTATTTACATGTCAATGTAAATAGCATGTGCAAACCATCATGTTTACACTGGTTATGATGTTAAAATTGCAGCTGTCAAGCAAGGTGTGTTCAGGTACCATCAGAATCTTAAGAATCTAATACAAAATTGGAAGGTTGTATAAAAAAAACTTTTATAAAATTCTATTTTTTTCTCATCTCCCCTTAGATTTTATGATGCCCCCTGGTGGAAACCACTGATATACAGTACTGCACTGTTTTTCATTTTTTATTATGTCTTGAGCATACTAACCTCTCGCTTTGATATTTAAAAGCCCCAGTGACACACAGGCCTCCAGCAGACACTCAGTCCCTTTCACAGAGGCCTTGACCTCTTCGGCCACTTGGGCAGCATCCAGGTGTGGACGCTGATGTAGCAGGTCAAACACACACAATGTGGAAGCAGTGAAAAGAGCCTGCAACGAGACAGAATTAAATGAAAATAACTTGGCATGAATGCATAAAAAAATGCAGTACATAAAAATCAGAAGAGCTGTCTTCACAAAGGTTTGATCATTTATGAGAGGGAATTACAAAGATTATTTTTCTATTATTTTCTATAAAATAACATGTGTGCGTACAGTAAAGACATTTACTTATCACATTTGAACTTTGTGGTTTCCTAAAAACAAAACAAAAATTCTGTGTTTGCAGTATATGATGTGCGCTTGCACAAATTACGTATAAGGGCAGGAATGGGTCTGTTTAGTTTGAACTCTCTGCCTTATTTCTCAGTAACATTAAAGGCCTGAATCGTTGCTTTTGCTGCTGGTAAGCAACTTGTGGTAACGTGGTTTTAAGACACACTTGCAGATACAGGAAATTATTGCACCTGAACAACAGCAGTGCAACACCTAAACTTCTCAAGAAACCACATATTACTATTGTGCATAGGGAGGTGATAAAACAAATATGATTCATGATGTGTTGTTCAAAAGTTTTGGTGTTTACACAAAATCTGAAAAATAAAACAACTATTAGTCAAAATGAATTTAAATCTTTATTGGACCTAACTTTTTCCGTTCATGTTCAATTACCTTTGAGGCTTTAAATCCATCCATTAATTCAATGACTCGCTGCAAGTCTTTAGTTTCGGGTTCAGTTTCCTGTCCTCTGCTGGTAATCTGAGGTATTGCAACCCCAAAGATTTCAACGTCAGATCCTCCTTTGTCCGTAGACGAGCTTTCCACAAACACGCTCTCACCCACTGCACTTTCATTTACCCTCCTAACCACCTGTGATACACAGCATGTCATTTCAGTAAAGTAAAAGCATGACTTATCGTGGGCGTGGGTGAGAACTGTTTACCTTAGGTACAGGACTGGACATGGGACTGTCACTGTACGTGCCTGGTGTTTGATTGACAGCTGGGCAGTTTGATGATTTGTGCTTAACAGGGGAACCGGTTGGAGCTGATAGTGGTGGAGTAGGTGGTGTGTTGCCACTCTGGCCTCCATCTGCAGTTGCATTTTCTAGGGCTAAAGAGGAAGTGTCGTGGTTGTAAATAAAGTTCAGCTGTTTGCAGAAGTGGTTGAGGGGGAAACCGACAACGTTAAGGAAGTCTCCGTGGACATACTCCACCAGCATGCCACCAAGTGCTTGGATGCCGTAACCGCCAGCCTTGTCCCTGACACAGGCAGAAACATAATTATTAACAACCTAAGATAGAGGCCTTTAACCTGTGGCTCCTTGGCCCCTTTTCATTGGCTTCAAGTAGGAACATGTTTATTATTTGAGAATGCACCAAATTAAATCAGAATGTGCTTTTCAAGCAGAAAAAAAACTCTGTAGCTAGAATAAAATTGAACTTAACTTCCTTTAAAACAGCTTGTGCGGCTTCTGTATAAAAACTCACTTTTAGGTTTTAGTCAAACAGCAAACAGATCCAGAACATACAGAAAGGCATGCATCAAAGTCCACCAACCTACCAGTTCACAGAGCTTGTGTTTAAACACCCGAGCTCAGTTGTCTGACAACATAAGGTAAAATCAACAACTGATGTATGAGAAAGTTCAAATGTCAACACTCACATGGGCTCACCACTGTTGATGTACTCCCACAGCATTTCTTCTGAAAGATCAGCAAACTTCACCTTTGTTTCTTCATAGAAATGAAACAGCTGGTAATCCACTTCGTCATCTGCAGGACGCCGACAATAAAACAATGATGTGTGTTCAGTGACAAACACTAAGTGCTGTTTGAAAAAAAATATCAGAAGAAAATCAAGGCTGTGACACTGTGACTTACTATCTTTTTCGTAGCAGAGGACGATGGCGACACCTGTGAAGACACTGTGCTCTTTACCACTCAGGCTGGAAAAAAACAAGAGAGTAACTGATTACTGTAGATAAAACTAGTAATATTAGGGATGGAATAAATGTGATGATTTTTAGATAAAATTAGTAATCTAATCTATTTTAATTATAATTTGTATCAAAATTAGTAAACGCTAACATTTGTATTTCAATTATAATACTTTTTTTTATATTGCAGCTAATTATAGTTATTATTTCATATTACTCCATGGCATGCATTTGTAAATTTTGGTTCTATGTTTCCAGTGTTGTAAATTCCCTTAAATATCACAATTAAGTTTTTGATGTTACAGTGATATCTTTTTCTTTCATTCTAATTTCATTCTACTTTATTCTAATTCTTGCACAGTTCAACTTGTCCCAATTTTCATTTCATGTGACAAATAAAAGTCCAGAATCTAGGATTTGGTCTAAAAAAAAAAAAAATTCAAAAAATATTCTTAACAAACTGTGTCAATCAGTGTGTCCACAACATTGGACTGAAAAAACATCTCTTGCATATTTTTGGTACTAAAAAACTAACTACTGCATTAAGTTGACTGTCAAAATGTTTTTTGCTCAGTTCACCTCTGCACAGAGATGAAATGAGGATGTAAATGTGTAACAGACCTCGACAGCATCCTGTAAGCATCCTTTTTGTCGACTGGCTTTTCTAAAATCATGCCATTCACCGTCTTAGAAAAAAAGGTAAAGAAGAAATGAACATACTGTACAACACAAAGCCATAGTGATGATATTATTGTTAAAGATTATATATCGTACTGTACCACAACAGTGTCTGCTCCAATTACGATGTCTGGAGTTTTCAAGTGTTTCTGCAGCACACCAGTGAATAACATGTTAAAAAAATGAAGTAAAAGAATGAAATCATGTTAAGTCACACAAAACCGAGACTGACTTACAAAGGGCATTCTCCTGGCCACCTCCAAAGCTTTGTGTTTGGCCGTCTCTACTGCGTACTCATAAGGTGCTTTAAACAGGCTTTTGTCCAGAGTTTCATCAAACCAGGATGGAACCACTTCAAACCGTAAACCCTGTTAGAAAAGCACAACTGCATTATACTTCAGTAAATATGATCATTTTAACCATTTTTTTATTTAAAATGAATTTTCTAATTAAACTCAATAGCGGTCTGTGTCCGCCTTCTGCTCTTACTCATTAAAACTGTATTCCTATAAACTTTCATAACATTTGGCATTGTTTCTGTTGTCTAATCTTACAAAGACAATTTGCACAAATTGTGCAAACTATGTTATTTTAAAACATTTCCAAGGAATTTCCTTTTCAAAAACATTCTGCAGATTTTGGATTTATTTAAATGAATTTATCTTTTGCTTTAGTGAGAGGCAGAAAAGCTATATATGGAGACTTTAGAAGTTGCCTCGGAAAGAAAACATACCACATTACGGAGAATCTCCAATCGTCTTGGAGAGGCACTTGCAAGCACAACAAGTTTACCAGAGAGCTTGGATATGACAGGGCGCAGCACCATGGTGGTCCTCTCTTCTGACTCTGCTTATAATCTGAAACAAATTCAGCCGGTAAAGACATGGCCTAGTTCAACTAGAGGAAATCAATTTGAAAAATAATTCACACTAGACATCAGATAGGGGCAAGTGAGAGTATGTATATTTAACTCAATCAGATGGAAATGTTTTTTGAGAACATAATGACCACCTATTTTATGCAAACGCCTATCATTTCAACTTTGTGGATAAAGGTAGAGTCCCAATCGTTGTGAACAAAAAGCATTTCATTTTGTTGCCCAACAGTTGTTCATTTGTGAAGATATTAGCAGAGTTATGTTGGCCACATATAGAACGAGGTCTTAACATACAGTATGAGGCCCACGCGATTTGACCTGGTTAAAGTTCCGTGACAACAGAGTTGTTGTTTTTTTAATCATTGCTGGTTGGTTATTATTATTTATCAGCTACTCGTTGTGACATACTTCGAATATACAGAAACACGTTTGCCTGATTTTACCTTTTCATATCTAAATTAATACATTGTGATGTGCCGACTTTAATTAGTTCGTTTAATGAATAGACTAAAGTGAACATGTTCGGCTTGTGCACATTGACATTCTCACCATTTCTTCATATGTGGGCCAATTAACCGAACAAATAGAGAAACGAGGTCTGGATAATAGTTTTCCAATGATGTCACGCTACTAACCATAGTTCCGTAGTCCACCATTTTGTGCGGCAAAAGAGTGTATAAATAGATATTAAATACATAAAAGAACACCGATAATGGTAAATACCTGTGTTGTGTGGGGTTCTACCAACCGATCTGGGAATGGACATCGCAAGATGAAGTTTTTTGACATGAAGCTATCTGTCACCAAGGGAAGCTGCTGGAGGATATTTCGACAGAAAGAAGGATGCTATGGCTTTTAGGTATTAACTGTGCTAATTTCAACCCACATCCAAGCAAAAGGCATTACAAAGTCTGTTCTGAACACTTTATTTCAGGTAATTACATTATACTTTTATTTAATTCATATGATCAATGTCAATAAAATTAAAATATATCAAAATGTACTTGCATACATGACAAATGCACACAATGCAAACGTAAATCCTCCATGTAAACTGTTATTCTAATGATGTTCACAAAAGACATACATCCGTACATGCCACTGTGATTTTTACATTAACACTCTGTATTATTGTGTTAATAAATCCCGCATTATCCCCATTGTCTGGCCAATTTTCAATGTCCGCCCCCTTCCACTCAGCTTTGTTGACTTCGTATAGGTCTTTTCCATCCGTTATTTTCAAATTGTCCAAGTATCTTGCCTTTGTAATTGTGTCCAGTTTATGTCTATACAACAATTTCGTCTGATCGACCTCCGGTAATTTAATATTCTTGTCTTTTGGTGTCATTATCGATTGTTTACGTCTACCTATTTGCGTCTTTTGCCGCACAACATGGTCAGCGGCGCGATGCATCAAGGAAACGATTATAACGATTATCGGAAAACCATCTATTGATAAACATCATTGCACTTGCAAACAAAAGGATTGGAAATATTGTGTTACATTAGCCTGCATGTTTAACGTGTGAATTTAGTATTTAAATCTTTTTCTTGCATTAAAGTCAACAACTTAAGCAATACGTGTACTTTAAATAAACCATTTCTCTGTGCTAACCTTGTGCGAACCAAAGTTCGTAAATTTTAGTATTTGCTAATTTAGAGCTAAAAACTGACGTACGTCTGCATGTAAAAAAAGTAATCATATTTAAACTTATATAATTATTATTATATTATATTACAATTTAAAACCCTAGGGAATTTTTTTTTCCTTCCCTCCAAAGACAAGTCAGAAAAACAACAGCAACAACCAGGACTTGTGGGAAACCACGTGACTCTGCGTAGGTGATGACGCGTTTTGCGTCCGTCTCTAATCGACCAATCATACACAGGCAATCCGTCTGCCAATAGAAATACAGGGCATTGCTCTTTCTAGCGCTACCGGGATATCTAACGGTTATATTTTTTAATCAAATGTGATATTAAACATCCAGTGGAAAATAATTTGGCCAGGGTAGAAGTATCTGGAATATGTGATTCGTTTTAGTAAACCTTTGGTGTTCTTAGTAAATCTGGGTTTTCACAACTTTAGGTGGGGCTTTGTCATCGTCACACCGCAAGGCCCCTAGGGCTAGAAGTTCCCCAAAAGACCATATGTCAGTGACGCAATGACTGAACACCTTACACACTGCAATGATCACTCTTGCCAGGGTGTGTCTAGAAACGCCCCTGCTCTGCCTTTTTTGTAGAATTATTTTTTCAGAATAAATTAATAAATAAGTGAAGGATCCAATAATAGATCTTATTAGATTAATTATTTTTCTTCTTAGTTTATATTAGTCGTGGTGGTGGCAGTGATTGTTATCATGGAAATGCAAGGTAAAATCTGTTGAACTTTATAAATATATTACATGTTTGCTATTCTTTGGGAAGAACAACAAAGTTTATTTTGTACACTGTATCAAAACATACATATATATATATATAATTATTTTGTCTAAATAATTGGCGATAAAGACAGATATCAAATATTCAAAGGTGCAAACAATGTTGTATATACAAATGACTGGTTGTTTTGGTTTTTTTTTTTACAAAAACATGCGTTCAAAGGTCAATGCTATGTGTTGTGTGGTGCACATAAAAAATCAAGTTTCAAGAGTTCAAATATTTGCTGCTTTCAGCCAAAAAAGTGTGGTAAGAGTAGTTCACATTCAGGGGAATTTAACAAAGGCTGACATGTCTGCTCACTTCCTTTTTTGGTTTCCCTCTCTCACTCAGCACAACAGTCCGAGGAAAGTCAAATTCTCCTCGACCTGCGCTCCCTTTCCTGATTCTCACAATTGTAATCTGTAGAATATAAGCTCTCCTTGTGCTCCATCCTCATTGAGTCCACACTGGTTAGAGTGGGGATATTTATCATCTGTCTCAGCTTGTGTCTGAATTCTTTAGAGGCAAAATAGTAAATGAAGGGATCAAGGCAGCTGTTCAGGCAGCTGAAACACAAAGTCAGTTTGTAGTAAATGTACAGAGACTTTCCATAGAAGAGTTTCAACACAGTGTGACTCAACAGTAGAATGCTGTTGGGAGCAAAGCAAAAGGTGAAGACCATAAGAACAACAAACGCCAGCCGCTTGGCTCTGTTTTTCTTGACTGTCTTGGAATCCTGGGCCAACTTCCGTATGACACTGACGTAACAGAAAGTCGTGACAAAAAAGGGGAAGAAAAAGAGAGAGAACTGCCAAGTAAAGATGTAGGCTGCCCAGGCAGGCCTGTTAGGAAGCATATTTTTCTTCAGCATATCAAAACACGTAATAGTCCCGAGTTCATGTACGTAAAAGGTTAGGTCTGAGGACATAAAAGGATAAAGAACAGACAGAACTAAAGCCCACATAAAGAGACAACTTATGACAGCAATGGACTTCCTCTCCCTGGTGGCTCTGAACAGCATGGGTCTCACAATTCCCAGGTAGCGGTCAATACCAATGGCCATCATAGTCAGGACGGAGCAATACATGTTGGTAAAGAAGATGAGGGTCAAGGCACTGTGGAAGGAAACCTGTAATTTAGTTCTTTGATAAAATGGTTTATTTTATCTTTTTATTTTTTTTACCAGCATCCAGTGAGGAACGACAGATTACCTGCACATGGTGGCTCCCAGTTTCCAGTCGTAACCCTGGAGCTGGTAGGCAATCTGAAAGGGCAGTGCAGCGCCGACAGCCAAGTCGGTGATGGTCAGATGAATCATGAAGATGATAGAGGGAGTCTTGGGTCGGGTACGAAAAAGAAGAAGCCACATGGACAGACCATTTCCTACCAGGTTGACTGCAGTGATGATGATGTAGATGACAGAAATAAAGATGCTGGTGTGTACACTCTGGAAAATGAACAGGGTTGTTTCGTCCAGCTTGAAACTGCTGCCATTACTCGACATAGTAGAAGGAAGATCTTCAAGTGATCTATTTGGGAAGGTCTGACAAAAACAAAAGAAAAAAATGATATAAACAAGATGAAATGATTTGATTGTAACAGTAGAAAAGCTTCATATAAGACAAAAGAATGGCGCTCAGAAGCTTTTAGAGCAGTGTTTCCCAAACTTTTTTTCTGGGGACCCAAATTTTAAACATCACAAACCTTCCAAGTCAATAGACATTATTCGTAAACTCCTGGGAAACATGATGTGAGACAACCCAAAAAAAATCTCTTGCGACCCATCTGAGGGTCACGACCCAGTCATTAGGAAACAATGTTTTAGAGTGTGTCCTTTGTTATTTATCATTTGTTTCTTTTTTTTTTTTAGCTAGTTATTTTAAGTTGTTAGTCGTTTTTAGCAATTGCTGTTGCTTACTTACTTTGGTGGACTATTTCTGGGATATTCTTCCACCATAATGTTGCAGGAACATTCAAAAATGTTTTCATATATTTAGCAAAACATAAGCTTGTATTTGTACTTTATATAGTATACACTGGATAATCATTGGAGTTTGTGAACTAACTAATTAACAGGTATATCATGAAATACAATTTAGATTCTTTTTAGAGACTATTTTCTCCATTCCATAACCATTATTTAACCTTTTTATGCTAAATTTTGACCAAGTTTTCACTTTCTCTTTGCCTTTAGTAACCATTTATCATTCATTTCACCATTTAAGCCAATTGCTGCTGGATTTTTTAAAGTACCTTTTCGATTACAAAGGGAAATTTTTAAAAACTCTTGCTGTGAGATTTCTGATTCGGTAGAATGAACCACAATAGTAAACCCAAAATCTCATTTCAGAAAACTTTATGAGGGGAATTCCATTAATCCTGTTCCCCTGATACTGTGAAGTTACACTTGTACTGTGCTGGTTTTAACACAGGAAAAGCACGTGCCTGATTCATGACGTGTCAACTGTCACTTTGGTATAGGTCCTACTCAGAGACACCACATCCACCGGTAATTGCATGTAATATTTTGACATTTATCTGTGGTTGCTAAAATCAAAAAAGTTGATCATGATGTACCTTGGCAGGACCACGGTGTCAGGAATGAGACAAAACCATCCAAATCTGACGATTTCATAAATTTCTACTGGTATTTTTGCCTCAGTGAAAGACAGAACATCGTATAATAACCTCAGTGGATATCAATATATTCATATTTTAATTATGTGGTCCCAATCTCTACGCCAGGTGTTGCCAACATGGACGGCCTATGGTGCCTGTGGGGTGTGTTCTAAAAATAAAACTAGTCAACAAGAGGGTCAAACATTGTACTGTTACTGTTTTTTTTCTTTCAGTTACTCTTTCAATGGTTTTCAAACGGGTGCCATAGAAATGGTAAGAACAGTGTCTGCTATTGCATGTCCAATTTCTTAATTATTACATTGTTTGTCAAACAAGTACAGTAAGTAGCTTAGTTTCAACAAGGCTGGCGACTCCTGCTCTACGCAACAATTATTTATGTCATACGATTTGCATGCATTTTATCTAGATTGAAATATTATTTAGAATTAAGTAAGGTCTTTTGTATCCTTATAGTAAGGCAGATTAGAGTTAAACAATTATTATTATTATGTAATTGAAATTGTTGTAATTGTGATATGACGGCTTAAAGCACAAAAACAACCTCGGCGATGACAAGAAAACGTATACATCAATAACCTTACAGAAAAAAAACGTAACATTTATAAGATCAATCAAAAACATCACAACGACACAGCAGCAACATTAGGTTACAGTAGTAAAGAGTTGAAAACTCACCTATTTCAACAATGCAAAGCAGACAGGATGAGGACAAGCACAAGACTGGCAGTTACAGATATGTGCCACAGATACTGACGGGGAAAAGCCAAGTAAGAAGTGAACGTGAGTTTGACAGAAAGAGAGAGAGAGGAAGAAGAGAGTGAGCCGTGTCGAAGCCACATGTTGATTCACTCCTGAATTTATTCATTTTTCACATGATTAAAAGTGGCTGCCCTGTTACTATAGGTGATGTTTCTTTCAGTTACTGTAATAACTCATCACAAACATCGATCGACTTAAACATGAGGGTTGACTAGAAATGACAACATTGCGTATGACTGGATCCAAAAAAAAAAAAAAAAAATCTGTAGTCTCCATTTTAAGTGCCGAAATGGAGCTAGTTGTAAAGATAAACTTTGGTTTAAAAAATGTATTGGTAACATTTAGTTTGTATTAAAAAGCAAAAGGCTAGCTTAGACACTAAAGTCAAAAGTCAAAATTGTAACATTAAAACACAATTAAACATTTAAACATAAAAAAAATCAAAAATAGCTAAACATATACACAAACAAAATACCAGTTATTAACTTTAACTGCACTTTAAAAAGCACTTTTCATACCATGAATGTTACACAAAGTGCTGTACAGATAAAAAGTTTTGTTACGTAACAGCCACACGTTAATAGTTTAACAGGAAAAAACTGAAGCAAAAAGATCACTAGAAGATAATCTGAAGAAGCTGAAATATAGCTGCATAGTACACCCAAAAATTAGCACAAAACGTAACTGTTGACGAAGAAAGTCAATGAAAAACATCAATAATAATAATAATAATAATACACAAACAGATACAAATACATGCTTTTCAAAGTTAGAGTGCTTTTTTATTTTCTTTCACAATAAAATATACAAGAGAAGTGATGTCAGGTACATGTCACAGCGAAAGGAGAGAATACTTCTTATATATATTATAATATAAAAATATCAGCTTGATATAAAGAGCATCCATCCATCCATCAATTTTCATTTGCTTATCTGTTACCAGGTCACGGGGGCAGCAGTCTCCATGACCACTACCCAAATCACACAGCACCGTACCAACTTGCTCTTGCCCAGCAGGTGAACCCTGGGGGTCCACACCAATGACAGAGACATTGCCTGTGGGCCAAAGCACCACTGATAAAGAGCAAAATAAAAAATAGAATTGAAACTTTTATCTAATATACAATACAATGTGTTGGGTCATTCTTAATTTTACTGTGACACATAAGAGCAACAAAGTATGCAAGACGTGTGTACAAACAAAAGTTTTATTTCATCTTATACTTGTTAAGAATTAATTTAGTTTTGAGAACAGATTTCATTACATTACACTTAGTGGACACTTTTATCCAAAGCGACTTACAATTTGAGTAAGTCAATCAACAATCAAGCTACAGATCTGTTGTAAATATTTGACTGTGAAAAGAAACAGACGGTCATTAAAGAAACAATCAAAGTTGTGCACAGTGTTGGGGACTTCAGGGCAACTACACTGGTTTGTTTTCTTGAGGATGTGTCACCTCTGATTCAAAAAGTTGTTTTTCACTTGTTACACAATTCTTTACTTCCTTTTAATGAAAAATAAATGTAACACATGATCGCCCATGCTTAAAGACTCAAAACTCAAAAAATACAGTACATTCCTATAAACATAAGGGCCACCTTTAATTAAGTTGACAAAACCTAGGAGAAACGTTGACGTTGTCCTATCAATAAATAAGATCTCTTCCTCTGACCCTTAAATATAGACAAAATTGTTAAATATTTTACATCCCTCCTCAATAAAAGCTCTACCAACAAACATTTAGTAAAAACCACAGTACACTGTCACTGCAGACACAATGAACATGAGGACATGATAAGATACCTCTTGTTACACTGCTGAAAAAAACAAAAAACAAGTCATGCAGTTTTTACATCAGCAAGTTTCCTCATCTACAAAGGATTGATAAGATCAGACTGTCAAGCTGTGGGTTTTTATCTCTCAAAATATCACTACAAGTGTTGTACAACATGAACCGATTCCTACAGCGCAGCCAGTCAACAACGTTATGTTCAAGGGACTGTGACTGAACTGTGGAACGTTCAGCAGAAACACAAGATTCTGGTGCCAGAAACTGCCATAAGTAGGTGAAGAATGGAGGTATTAAAGGGACATGGAAGTTGGGCAGGTTGGGTTCTAAAAAACATGTTTGAATTTGTTTTATTTGCAGTGCCTTGTGAGTTATAAACACACACAGTCTCATAAGGAATACTTGTGCATAATGTCATTTAAAAATAACATGGTGCACAGTATCAAATACACAGTATCAAACAACAACATCACAACATCTGGGATTTGCACTGGTTAACCACAGTACCATCACAATTCTTACTGTAATTATCTGGATTTGTATCTCAGTAGATTTTACCTTCTGCTTCATATTAACACAGTTTTAACACGTAATGTACCAAAAATGTTCCAATAAAAACCGAGACCTAAAAGAGAATTCAGTGCTCCCTTTATTTGAAGTGCTTTCACGAGGTGACCGATCACCTCGTCAATTCACACATTTCCTTCAGCTTCGCTCGGAAAGTGCTGGCGTTTCCTGTGGCCACTCACAGCTCATCTTTGTTTTTGTCAAAGCCCTTCTCCAGCCCTGTAACAATCTCATAGCAGTGATTGGCCCCAAGTTCAGGAGAGAGCCCACCGGGCGTGCAGTCGTAACCTTTGCCTGCAGAAGTCATGCGTTTGCGGTTGCGCGCCCCGGGTTGATAGAGCTGCATGGCTGGACGATCCTGCAGGGAGAGAGAAGCGACTGTTGTTATAATCGTGGGCTCTGATGCATTGAGGTGAATTCCCTGTTCAGACTACGGCAGACATGTTTTGGGTAAATTTGGTTTTTATTTATTTTTACTGCTGTTTTTTAGCTTTTTGTTAACAACGTTTAGGCACTTCTGGAATAAGATAGCAAGTTGGCAAGTTTTGGTAACCTTTACTATATATTTCTATACATTGTTTAGGCTGATCTCTGGTCTTTTGCTATGTAACTTGTCTGTCCGTCTCTCTATAGTTATAGCACAAACTATTAGGCCTAAACATTTGTCATATTCTGCCAATTTGAAGTTATTTTCTGGTAATGTTTAGCTAACTTTGTCTAGGCTTAAGTATAACTAGAAGATAGCCAAAGAAGTTAACTTGGCTATCTCCGAGTCATATTTATCAACCATCTTTTTGTGGTCGAGCCATTAATTTTTTTAGATTATTCATCTTCTACCACCGTATTCTATTATGTCAATGGGGAGGATGGGGTTAAACAGTGGAAAGTCCGTCATGGAGGAACACAGAAAGACAAATAACCAATGAATTCATATTACATCCCTATCTTTAACAATAAAACAATGACACGAGACAATAAAACCAGAAATATCCCTTTAACAGATCAGCATGTACAGAAGTATTGATGTTGGTGACGCAGTCCATTACCAGTTCATTTTGTTTAGTTTTCAACAACAGAGCACTCTGTCTCCCATACATCCACCCCCTTCCTCATGCTCACCTTCTCGCTCACCTTGTTTCGGAGGCGTTCCTTCCTATTACCCAGCTCCTCCCTATCCTCCTTCCCCGGTTTGTCTCCACTGTCAGGGCAGTAGGAGAAATTAAAGTGGTGCCCTTCTTTCTTGGCCCGGTCTTGACAGTAACCTTTGCCCCACTTGGTCTCGTCCTTTCGACGCATGAATTTATCGAACTCGTAGTGGTGCCGCTGCCGTTTCCGGTCTTCGTCTTTCCCTCTGTGATCTTTATCTCTCGGTCTGCGTCCATGCTGCTCTCTTTGCTCTTTGTCGCTCTCAGGCTGACCCCTAGTGGCCACAAATGAGAATGACGCGACAAAGAAAAACTTTTTTTCAACGAGTTTCTACTTTTTGAGGGTGCAGTTGTAACTTCAATCTTTTGAAAATACTTTGTTTAAAAGAGGGCTGTAAAAGGGAACGTCATCATCTCCAAACTCGCTCTAAATCACACACCGACAGACATGTTGACCTTACTTTTCTTTGTGGTCCTTTGACTTCATTTGCCCTCCTGCTTTCTCCCACTTCCCCCTGTCCATCTCCCCAGTGTCACTCTTGTCTTTAATTCTGTCTGAATCCACGTCGTCATCTCTGTCACTCTTCTTTAGAAGCTACACACAGAGAATACCTGTTACATCCACGTGACTGTACTATGAAAAAGCATGAAGAGCCATATAGAAGTGTATTACTTTGATTTTTATGTCTTTTTCAGACAGTTTTTTTTGCTTATCCGCCTCCTTGCGTTTACGTCTCTCTTCCTCTCGCCTCTTCCTCTTTTCTTCCTCCCTCTGACGTTTCTTCTCGATCTCTCTTCTTCTCCTCTCCTCTCTCTTCTCTTCTCTTATTCTCTGCAAGGACAGATTTGGCAAACAACATTTCATCACAGTTGATTATGGGTAATGGATTTTATTTGTCCTCAACGTACAATGTTCTTTTACCTGTTTTTCTATTTTCTTATTTTTAATATACTCCAACAAAGGTGTGGTTCGTTTAGCTAAAACAAGTAAAGAAAATAATTTTGATTAATTTCTAAATATGCAATAAATTTAATTTGTCATAATTTATGTAAAATTCATCTTATGAAACAAATAGTCTACCAATCAGCTCCCTGGTTTTGGCTTCTATCTCTCCCAGCAGAGTCTCGGGGTTGGCCATTGACTTCTCCTCATCACAGGAGTAGTTCTCCAGGAACCGCTTGTACTCAGGATCTGGGAAGGTTTTCACAAAGGCCAAATATTGATTGTGTGCCTCTCTTGCATTTGTAAAATATTTCTGGCAGGTGAGAAACAAATATTGGCTCGACGTTAATGTTTTAATACCGTCTTCAATGCTTCCAGCTTTGGCATCCTTTTTCTTTAGCTTTTTCTTGGAAATTTTCTGGAAGGGGGCAAACTCTACCACTGCAGGATATTCCTGGCCTAAGTAAATATTGAAATAATGAGTAGGTCATCTTTGAGCACACTGGCTGTGGCATAGTAACAAAGGCAATAAAGCTCAATCTGCCCCTCATTCATCCATAAAACAAACATGTTTGGGTTTGCATTTGATACTGCTGAACATCTGATTCTGTTTGCCTACCTTACACAAAATCAAAGTGACTTTGAACAGTCAAAGGAAATACCTTTATTGTCAATAAAGACATAGCCGTCAAATCGGTCTCTGAACAGCAAGATATCCTCTGGGTTTTTAAAATTGATATACGCTCTGGAAAACAGATGAGGATAAAGGCTGTGCAGAGAGGAAGAGAGAACACAAGGCATGATTGACAGCAGCTCCAATAAAAAGTAGATGAAAAAAAAGCATTATGCATTTAATTTAAGGAAGTTAAGAATACCTTTGATCAGCTGGGAAAAATTCAAAATAATCAAACGATGGCAAAGGACTAAGCTGTTCCTCTAGTTGGTCTTTGGACAAGTTGGGAGGAAGTCTTCGAATCACCACCTAAAACAAATCAGATTGCGGCCTTCTTATTAATCTGAAGACAGTCTTTTTGGAGGAGAGCATAAAACATCATCTTAGAAGCATCAGTAGCATTAAAAATGACCTTTTCCTTCATTAAAGAGCAAGCTTAATATTATGCTCTAAATTGGATAACTGTGACATGTAAGTTAGGATACTTCTAAAATATTCTTTGAAGAGGGACAATATTTGACAAAGTTAAGCGCACTGGAGATCAGTGGACGTCTACTGTGAAACTTAAGACAGGTAAGCCAGGTACAACACCGGTCACCAAAGCCATATTTTAGGATATATTGTGTCAAAGAGTTAATGCACCGTTATCGCGATGCTTTGCATATCATGCTGCGTTGCTTAAAGAATGCAACGTGTAAAAAACCCAGCTGTCAACAATCGGACAGTCATTCGGTAAATCGACCTAGGTCCATGGTACGGTTACTGTCGCTGTCCGCGGTGCTGAAATAATCCCACAGGCTCCATGTCTGTTTTCGACATTAACGATGCAACACGACGTGTAGAAACACAGCCCAGTTTCTCACCTTTGTGAAAATCTCCTTCTTCTCTTCTTTCGGTTTGACGTTTCCAGGGATATTCTCCTGGTCCCTGGGAATGTCCCTGAACTGTATCTCCACGCTTTTCTCCTTGCAAACGGTCATTTGGTCCTTTTCAGACCTCATTTCTCACCATCACCTTCTCCCGGCCCCGTGTTGTCAATGTGTTCTCGCGAGATCATATTTTATTACCGCGAATTATCGCGAGACAGAGACTATCGACTTTCTGGACAAATACAGAATGTACATTAACAGCCAAGTAAACATAATTTATAACGCAATAATGTTAATATTATTCAAACGCCATATTGACCAGTAGTATCCCTTTCTAGGTGTTGAAATTTGGCATGTAAAATTGTGTGTTTAAAAACATGTATCGTTATATATGTAAGCTGTGGAAATTAGGATACAAACAAACCAATTAAAATACACATTTGTTTTCACAGTTGTTCTAAATGTACCTGTTCCATTGGACGTTGGATGATGTCCGGTAGCGCTTAGTGTCCTCTGCTGGGAGCTCTCAGTCAGGGCAACTGTAGGGCTTCATGCCGCTCGGTTCCACACAGGACGGTAAACAGTTTGGAGGAATCATGTGTGTTGAAGACCATGATTCAGAACAAGAAGTTTGGCTCATACACCGTCCATGGATATCTCGTTGAGGAACTGAGGGACAAGACAAAACCTTGTCAGAACTAGAAAACAATACTGAAGAGAGTGTACCAAGGCTGCTCAGGTTTTCACAAACACCAATTTAATTTCTTTCTTTCTTTTTTGTTTGTATTTTTTGTTAACGTAAACATTCGAGACATTAAAAACGTAAAAGTTTAAAAACAGCTAAAACACCAAAAAAACGACACTTTACGTGATTACTTTACTATCATTTTTCACATTCAACCCGTGAACTCACCACTGAGGAAAGTTTGTCTGCCGCTGCTGCTGTTCTCCACACACAGCCTGGGTCTCTCTGGTGTGGACACCGAGCTCTTTAGACTAGGGACAAAGGTGGAGCAGGTGTCCAAGTCCCTGTGCATACTGTCCTGGCTATAAACGACGTTGGATTTAGACGGAGTGCAGCCCATTAGTCATAGAAGGTCAAATACACTGGAGACAAGTGTCCGCAAAGTGACGGTAGAAATGCAGTGACTGTCTAGTAATCCAGAGACCAGTGAAGGAGTAGAGATGGTTGGATGTGAGGTTAGGAGACACGGAACTGCTCCTCCTAGCGGCTAAGTGTTCAAATGGAACTAGTGGAGTGCTATTGTAATTTTATGTTGTTTCGACCTGTTATACCGCAGAAATACAAAAATGTGTACTTTACATGCAGACGATGATCACTTTCAACACGACAGCATCACAGTGACTATGCCAGATATGCTCGAACCCCTGACCGGAGAAAAGATTGCACGCCTGATCTATAGTTAAATTACTTGGTTGATTTGCTGTTAGCGAAAAAGAAATTTAGTGCAATGTATGCAATGAGTTTAAACTTAATAATTGTTCAACTTTACAGTCCTATGCAGGACAGGTTAATTTGGTCCATCCACAAACATCAAACATCATCTTACACTGCTACACTACAATTTCCCAGCCTGGGATCAATAAAGTACATCTATCTATTCCACAGATCCTCAAGGCTGCATTTGGCCGAGCAGCCACAGGTTAAAGATTTCCTTTATACTAATTCCTAAACAGCATGTTTTGTTTTTGGGCTGGAAGACAGCTCGAATAACTGAACAAAAAATCAGGGAAAAACATACATCTTTAATCTCAATGAATCTTCCTGTTAGGCAAAACTGCTGAGCACTTCTGCTCCAGACAAGCCAGCTGCCATTCCACTTGAATATATACAAGGACACTTATTTTAAGATAATGTGGGGTTTATTGTAGAAATTACCAAGAGTTGTATATATACCAAACTGCTTGTGTGTAGCTGGCTCATTGTTAAAATCCACAGGTTAAGCAGTGTGGTGAGTCCTGCCATGTGCAGCACTAAGTGACTACAGTCTTTAATGTGTGGACTTTACGCTTAGTTCAAGTGTCAAAGGTTAGATCACATCTTCCTATAGTCTGCTAGCTTTAATCAAGACCCAATTCTAAACTGAACACAACCTTGTTAACCAGAGCACATTTAAATCCCAGTGTGCATTTTAACGCAAACAGGAATCACGGCCTTGCTGTAGTGAGAATTCACAAGTCACTTTTTCTTGTTTTATGATTTTCAGACAAGAGACAACCACACGCACGGGAAGGGGAATCCAAACTCTGACAGAGCCCATGTTCCATCATTTTAGGTCTAAATGTTGTCCTTGGGCTTGATGGATGACAACGTCCTGTTCAACTACAGTTCCAATCTCCAGACGGGATGACATCACGTACTGGTGTCTGACAGGGTTTCTAACATGACATCACTCTCATACATGTCACATTCCAGGGTAAGGGACAAACGGAGAGGCGTCTCCAGCATCATTTTGTCCTGATTTGACAGTGGTGTTTCCAAAGATGTGATGCTGGCGTCTTCCAGTCTGGGTGTGGCTAGGTCACCGGGCTCTGATGTGTTCAGCATCTTCATCAGTGCTGGAGTGTTTAAGTTGCCCCGCACTTTATCATTGATGTCAGTGCCTGAGTGGAAACAGATGGTGATATTTACCAATTTTAACCAGTTTTGCTGGTGACTAAGGATTAACACTAGGTTCACATGAATAACCCACAATATTAACCTTTAAAAATAAGCCATGTCATACCTATATATGCATCTGTGTCACCAATGTACATTTCTATACAGTGACCAAGCATTGTGACAGAAAACGTGTCGTCCCTTTTCAGTCCTAGTGCCTGTAAAAGAGAAACCAAAATTTGTGAATATAAAAAGTCACTGTATTTCATAGTATAAACTGGTCAGATGTCGCTATGAGTATGATGAATACTCTTTACCGTATGAAAGTAGTCGATAGCGCTCTCAAAGTCACCCATGAGGCTGTGTACATATCCTATGGAAGAGTACGTGGACGCATGCTGAGGGATTAAGACAAGTGCTTGACGATGGTACTCCAAAGCCTGATTGTACTTTCTATGGAAACAAACACCAGAAAGAAAATGATCCATAGACTGCGTATGTTTTCCGATGCAGGCTGCTTTTAAAAAAAGATGTCATCCCAACACTTCTGGCCACAGTATTTCATCATTTCTTTAAGGACAAACAGTTCTCCATCATTTTTTTCAGCCATTAATTGATGATGCACTGACAGGCTTTACAATGTCTTTGTTTTGCATGAAAATAATTTATCTGTAGTGCTCCAAAGAAAACACTTGTGTGAAAAATACTGCAGCCCACTTATAGCTATTGAGTGGAGGTTGTGAATAATTAATTAAAAAGCAAGTAATGAATTCGCAGCATGAATTCACAATGAGGATCCTACAACTGCAACATATGAGCACATCTCTAAAAACATAATAGGGAGAGACAGACACACAAAGGAATAAACAAATAATCAAGAGAGGTCATAACCTGATGGCTGTGTCTGTTTCTCATTCACCATCTATGGTCTGTTCTTTTTATGAGTAAACACCTAGTGATATTTATCACATCACAACAAGCCCAAAAATATAATAGATGAATATTCAAGACATTCATGACAGAAAACTTACTTTAACTTTCGGCACACATGACCCAAGTTGTTTAGCAGCGGCTCCCACTTGTCCACAGTCACCTTATTTTTGATTAGACAAACAAAACACACTTTAACAGGACCATCATCACCAAGTGTGGCTATTTATTAATTAATCCGTGTTTCAAAAAAAACAAAAAAAACATTCTGTGTAGAGTTCAACCTTTACCTCATTTCCAATGGCTTTGATTTTCTCCATTGCATCAAGAAAAAGCCTCTCTGCTGTTTTCCAGCTGAAAAAAACCCAAGTAAAAACCCCGTTGGCCAACGCTAACAAAGCAGACCATTATCGACTGTGTTTGTTTGTGCATCCACGTATTTTGATGCATTTGTAGAACAGGAAACATGAAATTGACTTTTTTATTTGCAGCAATAACTAAACAAAGCTCTCCATCCAGGCCATTGAGAGAAGATTCTACAATTAGAAAAGGTTTGTACAAAATAGTAAATTACTAATTAATCCAGAATTGTAAATATTTTAAATTTGGTGTAATAAAAAATGTTAAAACTAACAAACTAGTTACAGTAAGTGGTCATGTGCATATTTATTTGTGACACTTACTCTCCATTTTGAAATGCAACCACTGCCACCTCATGAATGACAAATGGGTCTTCTGGAGCAATACTGAGAGCTTGGCTGAAGAAACGTTCTGCCAACTTGGAGTTGTTAGTCAGACCATATTCCAGGCCAATGTAAAGCATGGGTAAATGGCACCTAAAAAGAAAATCCCAAGCTTTCATTGTCCCATTGCCCAAATAGGAGGCCTTTATTTTTACTGTAAATAAAATCATTGCACAGATGAGCTGTCATCATCTGTCATGTACCCACCCTTTCATCAGCTGAGCAGCAGTGAAGTAGGCAGCCATGGCTTGGTCATGCTCACTCTCCACAGCAAATGAATGACCATAGGCGATCCATGCAGGTCCATAAGTTCTCTCTAACGTGGTGGCTTTGCTACAAAAGGAAATTTAGCACCAAATGCGAGTCAAGAAGCTCAAAATTCTGCACATGATTTAATTTCAGGCACAAATTTTCTGTACAGTGTACCGATATGTACCTGAGGTATCGTCGAGCATGTTCGTTCTTCTGGCCAACCATGAGATAGTAGCACCCAACAGCAAACCAGGACACCTGATAAGACAAGTATCTATTTATAAATGACTGAAAAATAACGTCACAGGTTAAAGTGATACTTATACAGGACTCACTGGATTGTTGGGATACAAGTCTACAAGTTTATGTGAGAGGTAAAACAACTCTGTGGAAGAAAAAAAACAATAGCTTAGTCAGGTGGATCACAGCAAGTAGAATATTTTCATTTTTTTCCAGTCATGGTAGATTTTCAGTTTACCATTTGCTTTACCAAGCTCCACCAGAGTTCCTATGTGGACTGGTAAACAGATGGCATGGAATGGATCTTTGACCATTACCCTAAGATTTGTAAAAAGAAACCAATCTTTACTCAAGTCAACATAAAAATACCATTAAATCTGTGATAAATCATGTGCTTTTAGCCTGACTATACACGCAAAATATTTCTTTACAGTGAATTTATTTTAGTCACTATGTTTCACTGTTTTGTGTGTAACAATAAAAGCATTAATTCAGTTTGGAAAGTATTTCTATTTTATAAAACACGTTATACAGAGTAAACTGCTGAAATGTCATTTTTGTGTGATGAAACCCATGTTGTCACTTTTTAAACAGACTCAGATCTATTGAATATTAAACAGTTTAACATAGTAAAACATTGAACACTCACATGGATGTAAGTTTGTAACACATCTTGAAATCACAGTTATAATAATGTCTCTCAGCAAGAGACACGACTACGTCCAGGTTCTCTTGTAGACCATTGACCATCTCTGGTACCATTAGGTCACTGGGTTTGTTGTACTGCAAAATAAGAACAAGAATAAGTGTTAGTTAAGAATGCAAATACAGAGAGGAAAACTGAAATGTAGAATAAAAAGACAAAGCAGCATCAGAAGGGCAGGTTTTTAGATTTCTAAAATTGTAGAAAAAAAAATACAGACACAAAAATACATAATACAACAAAACAGACTCATTAATAACCTCATACCTTCTTCAACTTATTCTCATAAAGGAAGTGCAACAGCTCCTCCTCTTCCTCGGTGCACTGTTCACTCAGAGGAAGTGAGTCGAGGAAGTCTTTTTCTATTGAAAAACAAAAAACAGCTAGTAAATAACACTTTAGGAGCTACTTAAAAGATAACTACACCACACTGTTTCCATGTACAGCATGTAACACTAAACTGCACACATCAGCCTTACCTTCCTGTGCAGTCAACATGTGGTGGGATGTTAAAAGGTCAAAGGCTTCAAAGCAGTACACGTCTAGTTTTAAGGCCTCTTTGTAGCTGGAGGTGGCAAGTGGTCTGTTGTCCATGGCGTCATAGATCTTACCCCGCAAAAGGCAGATGGAGCTGCTGATCTAAAAAAAAATCAACAAGAAAGGATTTCAAGTCTGTGGTAAATTGTCTTAATACATGACTTTACCAACCCACAAATTCTCAAAAACTATGCATTTCCTGACTGAAGGCTATTAAAGCAAATTCTCACACTTCAATCTTGAACTCCACAAAACCCTGATCTTATGTTTGCTACCACTCTGTTAACGGTCGCTGTACAAGAGTACATTTTAACACACTTTCAATGCAAATACAGGACAGACATGGTTCTTACCAGTCCTCAGTTACAAATACATTTTTATACACTGTACATTTTCTAGGATTATAATATTATGAGTGTGGTCAAATAAAAGTCCAAGACTTCAGAATGTAATTCTAATGTCGTGCTGTTTATTTAAGAAATGAAAAAAAAAAAAAAAACAAGAACAAAACATGTAAACTGTGAAAAAATATGACAATGTAAGTGCACACCCCGATTAACAAGATGAAAAATATGCACAGACAATGTGCCAGTGTACTGTGTAGAGGCTTTAAGAAAAACACCCAAAATAAATTCATTTAACAAATCAAACCATAAAAAAGTTTGTCTGATGAAAATATTTTAAAAACAGCTCTACAGAGCATGTTGAGTGACAAACTTACAGAAGCTGGGGACATGTCCCAGTCTTTAGACTCCATTGCCCCACTATCATCTTTTATACTTTCAGCCAGCAGCTTTTTAGTAACAGGCTCTTCTGAGTCCAAAATATCCAAGGCCTGTTGAAACTCTTTGGCAGCGTACTAAAAGAAACAAAAGAGATGCGAAGTGGAAAAAACGGTTTAAATGTATAATGGATTTTATGTATATACTATATATTTTCATCCACTTACATGACATCTAGCAGCAAGGTATTGACAAGCTCCATAAAGCTGTGTGAGGAAAAACAGTTTTTCCGACATGATTAATTTAAATGTGATTCATTTAAGTAAAGCCTAATATTAGTCACACTGTGCACCTGCATATAGAACAAACCAAAAGAATACAATTATTATCTAAAACGCTGGGCATTAATGGTCAGACTGCACTGGAAGGGCAGCAGAACCAAAAAATGGGAAAACTAGACAGCGTGGAGAACTGTAGAACTGAAAAAGACACAGGCCCTATGACTATTACAGTCCCTATTTAAATAGCAATATAAATATTGCTTCGTCTGTCTGAACTTAACCCTCTGGTGTTTTACTGTCCATGTGAACTAATAACTTCCTTAATACCCAACTTAATTTCCTTTGTTCACTATTAATAACAAGGTGAAAAATAATTTCCTGACTGTTCTCACGATGTCACAAATTATGATGAATTTCTTCTGCTGCTGACAAATTTAAACATTACTTCACATGTGACTGACAATAAACCAATGACATCATTAGAGGCAAATGTTTGACTTTTCACCGTTTGTGAAAACACCTTTGAAACGTACCTTGTCGAGTTTTCTTGAACGGAGAGCATGGGAGGCCCTGTGATACTGTGAAGTCAGGTAAAGGCACTGAGCAAGCCAGTATATATCCTGGGGATCCTCTGTACATTAAACCACGAAGAGATGGAAATTAACATCTAATGATGTAGTGCAATAATCGACAAGGGTTACAAGTAACAGCACTGCTAGTTTTCAAGGAATTGTGAAAACAGTTATTCGGTTATCAGTTACTCAAACTGGTAAACGTGCAAGTTGAGGTAAGTTACTCACCGTGGGAAAGTGATGCTATCTTATCGGCCCAAAACAAAGCACTTTGATACTGTTGCTAAATAAAAAAGGAAAAAAGAACGTGAGAGATGACACTGTCAGGTTTAGTTACGCTCGGCTTGTCGGGTCACAACTTAGTTATGAACACAAAGTAAAAGTGTGGGGTTTGTTATAACTAACACAAGCGTTGCTGGAATGCTAGCATTAGCTAGCAACACAAAAACACGAATAAATTATAAGTCTTACCTGGTCTATATACTGCCGAACTCGCTTTCGAAGTCTATCCAGGTTCATTTTGTTTTTTAAAAAGCTGGCGACCTTATCAACAGAATAATGACATTATCACTGTAAAGAAAAAAAATACATCAACCGGTCTAGTTGAGTGTTACAAAGTGCTAACTTGTTAGCTGCGTAAAATCAAATCCGCGGCTTCTCTCTGCTGCAAACGCTCCGTCACAGTGCGTCGGATGGAAACAAGTGATAAATGGAAGGTTCCGCTCCAAGGCTGATCTAAGAGTAAAATATAAGTAATGTATGGAAAAGAAATAACAGATATACAATTACAATATACAAATATTTTAAACATGAGATCCGTATTTTTTATTTTACATGTGATAAATAAATACATTATTAATGTTTCTACTTTTTAATAACATTTACAAGAGTCAAAAGCCTATAAAAAGTACTACTACTTTTCAGGTTATAGACTATACAGTACTAAAAATTCATTCAACACTGTTACACTTTTTCAGATAAGTGTCTTTGTCCAATTCTTACGGTGGAATCTATTTACTGTGCAGAAAATTATAACTCAACAACAAGCAACACAGTGTTTAATCCTCCCTGAGAGCTTGTGGTTCCTGTTCATAGACTGTTCAGGCCAGTAAATGGTATCTATGATGTTGCATTCCTCCTATCCCATCTTTCCTTTGTCTCATTTCCCTGTTTTTCTTTTCTTTTTTTGTGTCTTAAGGTTGTGAATGGTGCGAGACATTAAGGTTCCATGGCTGAGACCTTCTTGACCGAGTGTCTTCATTAAGAAGTTAGTCAAGATCAAGAATCAGGATTTCCAGGTAGAGTGGTTATTCCAGGTGGGTCAGTCTCTGGAATAGGGTCTGTAGCTGTGTCCTGCTGTAACTCTGATTCTTTCTTTACATCATAGTCCTCAGGTTCTACTTTTGGAATAAGGGGTGTAGTTGGATCTGTTCGTTTGTTCTTTGTCATAGTCATTGCTCGGTTTCTTGGGTTTCTGTTGTCCCTGGTGTTGACACACAAAAACCAAATCTTTAGTGTTGCAGATTTTTACAACAATACAGTTGTGGGTATCGTGTAGCTGTTGTTACATGAATGTTACATGAATTGTGTTTATTTTGGTGTTAAAAAATATTTTGCGATGATCCTCTTGGATAATGTGAAACGCTGTCCATCACCTTTAGAGTTTTAAACCAGTCATCATGCAAACTTCTCACATTGTACTGAGCTCTGCACTGGCTAAGGTAGAATTGCTTTAAGTGATTCTCCTTGGAAATACGGAGCAACTCCTTTTGTCGCTGTTCTCTGCCAAGACTACCCCAAAGACAAACTCAGCCTATGGCACTTGGCTACTATGTTTAATGTTTGACACATTGGCTAATTATTGAATCATTTTTAGAAATATAACTCACCTTTTCTTACTGTATTTGTTCCAGGTGTCGGTATCTCCAATTGTCCTGTTAATACGTGCTATTTTTTCATTCAGAATACTATTTTCCCTGTGTATCTCCATTCGCCTCTCCTCCTCAAGCTTAAAAAGATAAATTATGATTTATTACACCGAATAGTTAGCATTCATTTACTAATAGTCTTTTTGCACAGATTTCCCTTAATTGTTGTAACATTGGAAGAACACTGACACCTAACAGATATGAAGGGATTTATTTTTGGAGAAAAGAGACTTAAAAAAACCCCACCTGTTTTGTCTTTAACTTCTGTTCCAGATGAGGAAAGGTTCTCGGGGGAGTTGCGTCTATTGATGGTTTAGCAGATGTGACCTTTAAGAAAGAAAGTACAACAGAAAGGGTTTCATCTAGGCCACACTACCACACTGGTAGTTCACTTTTTGGCACATACACTGGTGGGATGTTAAAAAAGAAATCTGTGGTTCAGAGAGCAAGTTGCTTCCAACCTTTCTTCTGCGTAAATCATAGACGGTCTTGTCCCATTTATGCTGTAGATATCTGTTTGCTGTAGGAAACAGGGACTGATACGCCTCGTAGTTTTTTGTTGTCCTGCAGATACAAGCGTTTCACATTGAAAAAGGCCTACATAATATCCAATGGAATTGTATCATCTAACTATGCAGTGGAAGTAAACTATAATGATTTATGTTTGCTTGTTATAAAAGGTTTTCCACTTTTTACTAAGTGTAAACCTTAACTCACCTTTTCTTCTCAAAGATATTCCAGCTGTCTACACCTCCGGTTGTCTTCTTGATGTGTGATATCTTTTCATTGAGAAGATTGTTTTCCCTCTGAATATCCATCGTCCTCTCCTCTTCCAGCTTAAAAATTTGTATTTTTATTAGAATGATTAACAATGCTCTGATGTAAAACATGATACACTTTTAGATACACGTTTTGTATTTTCAGTATTTAAGGTTCTACCAAAAATAGCAATGAAGTTGTCAGTTATTTTTTAACATGGAAAGATGAACACAGATACATTTTTGTCAAAGACAAGACCAAGAGACAGACCTGCTGTTTCTTCAACCTCTGTTCCAGATGAGGATAGGTTCTTGGAGCACTTTTGTCGATTACAGGTTTTGAGGACTTGACCTTAGGAAATAACAGCAATAACACAAGGGTTCAGTTTCAAATGCACAACAGCGATAACACACATTTCACCAGAAACACAGATGCGTATCAAAAACAGACACATTATGTGCTCGAGACACTGAAGTGGGAATCCCGTGTTGCTACTGACCTTTCTCCTATGTAAATCATAGGTAGCCTTGTCCCATTTCTGTTGAAGATATTTGTTTTTCGTGGGAAACAGTGGCTGATAGGACTGATAAGACTCTGTTGTCCTGTAAAGGAAATAAACAGATGTAAACTGGCTTTCGACGTCCCTTCCCCCAATTTTTACCAAAAAAAGCCAATCAAACCTCTTGGGCTCATAGTCATTCCAGCTGTCTATTCCTCCCTTTGTCCGCTTGATACGCAATATTTTTTCAAGGAGAATATTGTTATGGAATTGGATTTCCAGTGCCCTGTCCTCCTCAAGCTTAAAAAGACAAAAGACAAAGGACAACATTAAATTAGAATGTAAAACAGCATAAAAATCAGCATAGCATGCAAGTTTTAAATGATGCACAGAATAAAAAAATGCTTTCCGTCAATGCAAGTATGTAATGTTACAACCCAAATTTGCAAAACCAGTTTCATAAATAAAATTGGTACGCTTTCCCAAAAAGCATTAAACTCTGAAACATGTACATTGGCAAACAATTCAACTTTTCTTAGGTAGTTTGTCTTCACTGACCATTATAATGGACATTATTTTGTTAATTCTGGAACACAGGTATTTTAATAATTAAAAAACAATTATAAATATTTTAGTTTAAGGTTACTCTTATATTATACATTTATTCAGGCAAATGCAAAGACAAGGAATTTTTTAATTTGAACTAGATCAAGACTGCAGGTTGGCTGCACACATTTGTGTATACTATCAATTTCTCAGTGATAATGGGTAATTACCTGAAGCATTGAGCGTTTCTATAAAACTCCAAAATTATCCACCATATATGGGACTTTTGTACCTCTCTGTACCCTGTCTAGATATTTGGTTAGTTAACAAACCCTACTTCTTTATGTTTTGGATACCCGAATTATGGAATCTTCCAGGTTGTTTTTTTCCGCCCTTTCCCTTTTTCATTAAACACGGATTAGTTTGTCATTTGTCACGTTAAGGGTTTACCAAACTACCAATTTAAGTGTTATTCCCACTTTTATTTTCAGTTTACTATAACGTTTATTGTTCTTTGAAGTTCTCTCAATCAGTCTGCTGCCACCTATCTTAGCTCATTATTTAAGGAAAAAGTAATAGGATAACCTGTTGTTTCTTTAACTTCAGAGCCAGGTGGGGATAGGTCTTTGGAGGAATTTGGTCGATGGCTGGTTTAGCTTGTTTAACCTTGGGCAAAACACAAATAGCACCACTTTTAGTTAATTCACTAGTAGCACAGAGGAAACAACAATGACCTGTGGAACACGGATGTTCTCCTGACCTTACTCCTATGTAAACTGTATGAAGCTTTGTCCCATTTTTGCTGAAGATATTTGCTTTTGGTTGGAAACAGAGACTGGTAGGCCCTATGATCCATTGGTGTCCTGCACAGAACAACGACCAAGAACAATAAAGCCCAAACATAATCAACATGTAACTTTACAAATCAAACAATGTGTTTGCTAACCCCATCTATTAATCTATTACCACTTTAATTAGTGGCAGTGTTTAGCAGCAGGTGACAGGTAATGTTGCATCATTGGCTGGTCCTTGACTCATCTTCCTTAATGTTCCAGAATCTGTCTAACTCAACCTTGACTCCTTATGACAACATTGCCTGCCTGTTCTCGCAGATTTGCAGCATTTAGTACAAGAAATATTGGATTTCCTCCTCTTCTTTTCTTGTTTCTGATGTGTGTTTTCCCCTAGTCTCCTCGATTTCTCTAGTCGCACCAGTCCTTTGATCCTTTCAAACGAAATAGATGAGATAACATATATTTGGGTGGACGAGTGTGGTGATGTGTCATTTTCTGTCCCTTATCTTTGGTCCCAGGCATTCATAGCAATTAAAATAATCTGCTACATCAATTTTTAAAATCATGTGAAGAAAGAATTTGTAGCAATGGGAAACTATAGATGCAAATCTCCATAGATAACATGCAGTAAATCCAGAAGAAGGTAGCAATGCAACATAATGAATGTCAACTTAAAAAAAAAAGGTCTTACCGCTCAGGTTCACGTATCCAGATATCACAACTCATCCCCTCAAAATGATTGTCTTTATTCCTGGCCATTCAAGTAGATTGAGATCAACAAAGACGGCAGTCTGTTTTCTGCCATTCATTCATACACTGTTGCCATGACAGCAGCTGGAGAAAGCAGGGATGAATTGATGAAAGAATGAATGGCTTGAAACAATGAGCCTGTCTTGCTATGACAACATAGTTAAAGATGCACGGACAAAATAAACAACTCTAGGATGAGCCACTTTTTCAAGACAAAAAGTCACAGCTAAAACCTGGTAATAAAGTATTGCAGAGTTTTGAATATTATATTTTTAAAATATATTTTAAATAATATTTTGAGTTAAACATCAGTTTTAAGTGGCTGATGGTGAAACTATTAATTTAACACATGGCACGATTGCATTTACTGGCAACTATTATTTAGCCATGTGGGGGACAGCCATGTTAACTGTTTATTAAAACTCAAACTCTCACAGTTTGTGCACAAGTCAACCACTCTGCTGCTATCTATATATTATAGCCAAATTGTCTTTATGAAGCATTAAATTACGTATTACGTATTGTAATCTGAGTGATTTGTTGAATGAATCCCATGAATGAAATTATGCACAACAACACCACCCCCTACTGCCTGCTTTTGGCAACAACTACTACCATTATTTTTATAGGAAAAAACATTGATAATATTGTCTTTATATTTCATTGACATTAACAGTCTGCTCTGGACTTACATATAACTCTACTCAACTTATGTTACTTAAAATTACTTAAATATCTGACACTTAAATATATTCAAAAGGTCGTTTATTGTGAAAAATGTCATACTTTTTTTTAATTAAATTAACTCAAATCAGTTTGACATCCAAATAGTGGCAAGAAGAAAATTAGCAATTATGTTTAAAAAAATAATTAATTTAATTCAGACTAGACACAAAACAATGTAAGACTTGTTATATACAGAACCCAGTGCAAAATGAAATCATCTTAATTTTAAAATACTTTGCGTCTTTGTAGCCCATTGTTAAATGTAACTCGTGTTTCATAATTTTTCTACAGCACAACGAAAACATGTATCACATATTCTGTATTATATTTCTTAGTATTTCTTTGGCGCTCTGTGTTAATTATTTTGGCATCAAACGTTTTGGAGAAGATGATGCTTGTTTTTGTGCCATGTTAAAAATGGCAGGGGATGCTTCCATTTCCAAGTCAAATCCCACTGGTCTGTTTAATTGTACTACTGTGGATAAGGAACACCAGTCTCCTTGGGACAGTGGAAATACAGTAAGACACAAACCGTTTGGGTGTGTGCACGTGACTGTGTTTGTTGTGTGTCTACAAATGTGTTGGTTTGACACATTTTGACACAAGGATTGGTTGAAGGTGGAATTTTCCAGGTGTATCACTGCCATATTGGCCACAGTGACTGGACGGACAAAAAAAAACCCATTTTCTACCAATCCATCTATGCAAGCAGATGTCATATGATAATTTGATTCTGGATGTAACACACAGGTTTTCCCAGTGAGTGCAGTCTACTGCAAATGAATGTCCTGTGTGAAATATCTGCTCTCAGACACAGTGGAACTGTCTCAGCCCACTGAGACAAGTAGCAGGTGTTACCTTAGAGCTGGTATTTTTGGTCCCTATGGCCAGAATCAGTGAGATCAGCAGGAGGAGTCTGATCATTTCCCTAAGGTCAGGATCAGGATAGAGTTTTTTTTTATCTAGTGTGTGGTGGAAAGTGACCATGGTAACACGTCTCCTGAGATCACCCTGTTTGGATCATACGTAGCTCCCAGTCTGCTTGTTAGGATTATGGATAAATAAGGTATTTTGCCTTTTGAACAGTTAAATCTTCTTTTCCTCTCTTGAATCTCCTTAAATGTATTAACTTCTCCCCAAAGGTCAGAAAGAAGTCTGAACTCGGCTCTATCTCGCTGTCCTTTCTGTGATCATCTATCACATAGTTGTCATTGTAAATGTCTTTTTTGCATTTTTAAAAATTAGAAACAGTCATAGAGACATCTTAGGAAACGTTGATGTGTTCTAGTGGATTTGGTTCTGTCACAAACAAAAGTCCATTAAACTGCACCTTCAGAGAAGTTTGAAATCTTTAAAAAAATATAATAAACAGTTTCGCACTAGTCTGTATTCATCAGACTAAAACAAAAAAGTACAGAAGCCTGATTGGTGGGGGAATATTTTTAAATACTTCTACCATCCTATTCTATTTTTTCCTAATTAGACCTTTTATGTTGTTAAATACTTGGAAAACAAAGTGTCATTCTGCCCGGACTTCAGCTGCTCAACAGTTCATGGGCTCTGCTGTCAGATTTTTCCTCTCCATGATGACATTTTTTGCAGTAGACAGATTTGGACTGCAGTCATGTCAGTCAAACATAAAGACCACAGAGTCGACTGAAAAATGAGTCAAAGACATTTCATTTCATATCATATCATTTCATCAGTTTTTGTTATATTAACATGTGTTATCTGTGAAATAACTCATTAGGAAACTGAAATAAAATAACACATGGAATAAAAATAAATATAAATTAAAAGTTGCAGTAAAATACTTAATAATAATAATATTGCCTGGTTTCTTTACCCTGCTAAAAACAGCCCCTGAACAGAGTTAGTGTGATACAAATGTATGGCTTTGTGTCACATACAGAGCCATGACAACATCAGAAAACACTTATACACAGGATTCACACTGAGCACAGTTTTACAGCTACTGGATGACAGAAAAGGCAACTCCTCTCAAATACTACCCTCACACTCCTGCTGCTGAGCTGCAGAGAAATGGATGCTTTGACTCAGAAATTGACTTTGCCCATCTAAAAGTGGCTCTTTCACTGCTCAATGCAGGAAGTCTGCCCCATTTCATTACTGCGAGCCATGCAGGGCTGTATCCCAGATAGAAAGGTTATAAATAATGAAGGATGCAGTCTTTACGGGTTAAAAAGAACCACTGTGCTCTTAGATAACAGTGGAATATGGGGAAAACAAATTAACCGCTGCAAGGCCAGAGAGTAACATGCTGAGCTAATTGACTGCAGTGAGCTAATGCAGATGAGGTCAGATTTGTCCTTTTAAGGTATAATTATCAGTGTTATGCAAGGGTTCTTTGGGTGTAAAATCTGCTAACTGTTCTTTGGCATTTGTGTCTAACGTTGTAGTGATGAGTTGTGTTTTAATTGTTTGATGATGTTTGGAAGGTTAAAGCTTTGAGGATGACACTAAATTGTTGTAATTCTTCATTCTGTCTAATGAAGATTGCCATCTAGTGGTAACACACCTTTTTCTTTTTTTATCTACTTCCTCTTTGTCTCCTTCTGCATCTTTGACTTCGAGCACAGCTTACAGACCGAATATCATAGCAGATCTCACTACATTTGCGCATACCTATCATTTCACTCCTGACACTAAGCTGTCACCATACTGTATAAAAATTATAAATTTAATATAAATCTTTAAACCCAAGTACAGAAGTTCCTGAGGAAACAATGACAGTCTTCTGAAAAGTCAAACAACATTTCTCATTATTTGTCCTCCAACATGAATGCGTTTTTTTCTGTTCTGCCTTTACTATGATGTCTGTATATAAAGGTAGAGTGAGATCCAGTCCAGAGTAGAAAGGCAGGGTTAACTACATGACATGTCAGTGGTTAAAGGGACAGTGAAATAGCTGGAATATTGATTATCTTGTTGCCACTGTATAAAATAATCAATCACATAGTCACACATGACTGTACATTCGGGTAGATGTCCACCTCATGAGCGTGAAGACCATACTGTACACAGCTCCGCATCTAACTCACAGCAGAGATGATAGCCACAAAATGAGACAAAAGAGACGAAATTGTAACTCTGAAATGAATGGGTGTGAAATGAAAATAGTTTTTTTTAGCCTTGTAGATCAGGAGGTGTGAGTGTCGGAGAACATTGCTTCTGGCTAAGGCTTAAATGAAGAAGTGAGGAAAAAGAACATTACCAGCTGCAAACAATACCTGGATTCAGGACTAATATCAACTCACTCATTCTACGATGCCATTGACCGTGGCTTCCTTCTTGTGCTTTGGCCGGTTGCGTGGCAGAGACACCAAGGAGAAATCGTTGGCCCACAGTGAAACATCTGTCTTCATACGTAGGCCTGTTTTTGACAGATGTCTCCAAACGTAGACAGTAGTGAGATAAAACCACAGTTTGTGCTTTTCAATAGAGGAAAAAAAAAAAAACGAACCAGAAAGAGAACAAAGAGAGCCAGACCCCATGTTGAGACGAACACCATTAGATTCATTAAACACTTCAAATCGATGCTAAGTTTATTACATCTCATAGCGCTCACTATGTCTCTGAAACTTGACAGAGTTTATTGAACATCTAGGAAATGATGTTCTGTGAGGAGATAATATTAGTATCTCACATATGAGTACTACAAAAGAGAACTTGTGATGTGCACTGACTGTTAACACTAACAGTATGAACTGAACCAAATGTCCATCATTAACGTGTAGATGGATTCTAGTGAAATTATCATTTTTGATTGGTTTATAGTCTGGTTTCAGATTAAAATATCAAATGACACTCACTAGGGTACTGTAGGTTCACCAGCCGATTATGCTTCTTTACACCATACTTAACCCACAGTACATAACATGACACTATGCCCACGTACAGTAAGTACTACTTACAGTACTTGGTAACGCTCCATACTATCAGGATGTGGGCTGGATAAATCATACAGACGGGGTCTAAATCTACACGGGGTCGATGTCGTTGACCTCATCTTTCTTAAATAATGAATATTGTTGATCACTCTGCTCTGTGAAGAGCATTTGGTTTGTGTGTGTGTGTAGGAACCTTCATTTCTCTCTGTTGGACTCTGCCCTGTTAGTCACAATGTGGGTGCATTAAAGAGCTTTCACAGCTGGTGAAGTATCGTAGCAGCAGTAAGCAGTAAATGACAGATCTGAATACTATTTTTTTTATTATCAGAGGCTGTCTTCTTGGTAACTTGAAGCAGGAGTGTGTGGCAAAGTGGCCTCTTGTTTACATTTCGACGGGGTCACTGTCTAGGACATGGGTCACAGCAGCTGTTCATTTTTTCTGGCAACACCAGTTCAACCCCCCCACCTAACCCCACCCACTCTCTCTCGCTCTAATCTATTTCCTTAATTATGAAAATCATAATAATATATATCTGTACAATTTTGACCTGTCACTGTAAATATGACTTGTTTATATATACTGTACACTCTCTCTATATAAAATGTATATATATATATATATATATTAATAACACCATTTGTTGTCTCTTCACACTACTCCATGTGTGACCCCTTTAAATGTAAACAGTAATGCCACAGAGACAATGAGTAAGATTGGAGCCAGCACATTGATCTCCTCGCATCTTAAGTCAAGCCATTTTTCCACATCAGGAAAAAACAGGCTGTTAAATGCTCACATGGGAGCCACTTGCAGCGGTCCGCAGCCCGAGCAATCAAAGAGAGGTATTCTAATGATCCCTGACAAAATTGTCAGACAATATTCTCCAGGGTGCGATGATACTTTACATTACAGTAGATAGATCGATAAGGAGTATGACATTAGAGGCCTCTGCAGAGCGGGAGAAAACCACGGAGCCTACAGTGCTTTTCCTCTGACACGGTGATTCCAGCATGAGTCAATCTGACCCTAAAAAAAAAAAAAAAAAGCTCAAATGAATTCTCGGTATTATTTTGTATATATAAAGGGTGTTGATTCAAAGTGTGACGCTGCAAAGTCATGATGCCACGTGTAACAAATGTCATATAGGAAACATTCAGTTTCAAAGTGGCCCACATCCCTGTGGAACCAGATATTACAGACAAGTAAAAAGACCAGGGCGCCACATAACTAGGTCATTAGACTGGATTAATGCTGTAATTCAGAGATTCCGCACAACACAGCGCCACTAATGACCTTTCCGGTCTCTCATTAAGCTTCCAGTTAATATTGTTTATAGACAACCACAGTATACTTACTGGAAGTTACACTGAAAAACACAAGATTTTAATAATGACTCTTTCACTCATTCTTTGACCAACAGTTAAGAAAGATTGAACTTTGTGATGTCTGATATAAAATCAACTTATCAAAGAGTTTATATATATATTATAATTATTAGTTAACATATACATGTATATTCGCTGATGCTTGAAACTTAATTTGTTTTCATTGAAAATCCAAAAATGGTTAGGTGTAACATGCCCCAAAAAATTAGTAAAAAAAAGATCATAACATTGTGGGAAGTTCCTTCATTTTGATGGACCCCACGGTAACGTGTTTGACTATTGATATTCTGTATGTAAGTTCAAACCAAACGTCTTGATACCATGTGTTTCATCCATTATCAGGACTCAGTGTTGAAACTGCTGCTAAATGTGCATTGTCCCTAATCATAGGACTCAAAATCACCTAGGGCCACTTCCTTGGGGAACAGAATGTCCCCAAGGGGGCACATGACTATTGAACTTTACTATTTAAACCTGGTTTACTATTGAGAACCTGATAATGTGTATATTTTTATCTGTACAAACCACTGTATGAGTCAGAAAATCATTGCTACTTAAAACGTGTCTGAAAAAAAAAATCTGCCTTAGACTTTATTTTGCAGAAGCCATACATGATTTCTTCCAGACTCATACATTCCCAGTTGCAGGCCACCAGGAAGGAAGTCTGTACAGTAGTACAGTTCTTCAAAACAGATCGTTTATATTTCCCCGTATGTTGCCTTAATGAATAAAAGGCTAACTGCATCCGCACCTGTGAGTTGGGTCACACTATAATGAGCAACGCTTCCTTTTTAAAATACAGGCAGCCAGACTGACGTCGGCTGTTTGTGCTGGTTGGGAGTCACAGCTGCCAGAGTGATTAACCCCATAGATATGATAATAGAGGACTCTTCATCAGGGACTGAGTGAAACACCAACTGTACCTCAAATGAAACCAAGAATAGTTTTGTGGTAAAACCCAAACTTGTACTCTCATTCTCCTTCTGTCTAGCTGTCGCTTTTGATAACCCTCAACAGGTGAGCACGAGTGTAATCAGATAAAAGTCGTATCATCTGTCTCCTACTCTATTATGGAAAATGTTTTAATCCTTGGAGAAATTTAGTCATACAGTACATTGGAAACAGTTGTCATGAGCAACACTAACTGCCTACTTATCCTTGGAGATCAGGGGACCAAACAGAGCCAGAAAAGATTATCATCCAGTACTGGGTTTAAATATAAATGTCCTCATAACTGAACATTTACATTTTATTACCATATGATCTTCTATCTTTCTGATCTACAGTAGTTTTTCTTTTACTATCAACAATTATGTTGGCATTTTTTATTTAGGTGATGGTGGTATCACGAGTGATGTTTCTAAAATGGCGGGTTGTGACCAACAATTAGGTCACAGTACTAAACTTAGTGGGTCATGGGACTGAATAATAGATGTCCTCCACTATTCCTGGGATTTTCTACAGGTGCTGCCTACTTTAAGTTTAGTGCTGCATCTACATATCTTCCAAAGTGCAGCTTGTTTGTACACAGTAGTACATTTTTATTAAATGTATGAAGACCCACTTGCAAAGTGAAGACTAAAAGTACTCCAACAGTAACTCCATATGTTTGGGGGTCTGTGAAATATATAGACATGTATTTTATTATTTAATGTCAATGTCTGTTTCTATAGACATCAATATCAACTCTGTGCATCTCAATCTTATTTAAAGTATATTTCATGATAAAACACAATTCAAAGAAAGTCTGGCTGCAGTTCACATTCCTACAGTATATGTTGCCAACAACTGAACTTTTACTGAACAGCAGAGAAGTCAATCAGTGAAAACACATATGAACCATTTACCATCATCCTTTACTGTTTAGTCTCCACCAAAATGGGATCATTTTTAACACGGTGCTTTGTTTGATATGATTAATCACCGGTGGTCATGATTATCAGCTGTTAAAAAACAAATTAGTGTCTGGTATGAACACATCTTTTTTTATATATTTGCATTCATATATTTGAGCAGTTACTGTTACTCTGACAGATGAAACTGAGTGTTTTTGTTTGATGACATTTCCGTGTGTAAAGGATTCTTTATAAATTAGCAGAAATGTATTAGTCCCTCAGGGGCATGGATCTATTGCGGCAGGGGTTGAAAGGGCAAATCAATTGTATTTTCAATATTTTCTTAATGGTGCCACAGTAGTGAAATGACATTCCATAAAATTCCGTTTCCTTTCCTGTACAGAAAGATAAACGAAGCAAATGGCAGTTTTGTGGGTGAAGGGAGGCTGCAGAAAACTTTATAAATCACTGGATTTATTTAAGTTTCCTACAACACGTGCGTTGACTCAGTCTTTGTGAATGGCTGCTGGTGTTCCACTCTACCTCCACTGTCATCCTGATGCAGGTGACTCTGAACACCTGCGACTTTAAAAGTTTAAAAAAGATTGCAATAAATAGTAAAAAATAGAATAGGAAAAAAACAAGATGGAAATGTACTTTTTTATCATAACGTTAAAGAAAACGCAGAAGAAAATGTATTTTAGTATAGGATTTACTAATAATCAAACTAACGCGGTGTGGGACACACATCTTTGTCAGATAAAAAAAAAATCGGGAGCATCACTGATATGACGGCGCAGAAACCACGTGTTTACGTAATGGAAAGCCAATCTTTCAATTTAACCCCTCCTCCCCAGTCTATCCCTCATTGAGGTCTGATGCCAAAGGAAATTCATGCAAATGTTTTGTACAGGCGCACCGCACTTTTGGAGAAGCCAGTGGCGTGGCGCTGAAAAGCCTTGAGGAAAATACCCAAGGAAAGCGAAAAGAAAGAAACGCACTCTCCAGGAATCACGGGGACACACACACGCAGGCACACACACAGGCACAGGCACAGGCAAAGGCACACACCAAGAATCCCAGCCTGGCTTTCACAGAGACGCTGCGGTGTGGGACTGTGAGAGATGAAAACTGGTGTTGCTCTGCTCTGACATCGCCATACAAGCTGCTGTAGCAGGAGAAAGCAATTGGACCTGATCCGGCAATGTGGTGTTTGGTTGGGGCTATCATTGCAGCAGTCTGTGCATAGGATGCACCCTCCCTTGGCTTTTGATGCTGTGCAGATCCACCCTCCTCTCCTCAGAGTGATGAACTAATAGGCAATGATTCTCTCCGCGGAAGCCCACCGTCTTTTACTGTTTTCACGTTAGTTGTGTTTGTTTACTGGCGGCCCGTCTCCTCCCGGTGCGACACATGCAATTTACAGAGTATATTTTCTATTGTCGACTAGTTGAGGAGGCTGCTTTCTTTATACGCCAGAAGAAGAAGAACACACACCGTTATCAGCAAGTCTGACAGACAGCGAATGTTTCTGCCACGTGAATGACAACGCATAGGACTTGGATGTACCTGCTTTTTCTATGATACATTTGGTAGCCTTGTCCTGGGGAACTGATCCATTTGTGTTATTATGCAACCGCAAGGATCTCATCTATATCTGGGTGTTTAAGCCACTGGATTGCTCTTCGCCCAAATCAATGTGGTTTCTTTGGAACATTTTCAGCAAAGGAACGCATATGCTGCAGTGTCTTTGTGGCAAGAGTCTTAAGAAAAACAAGAATCCAAGTGGTAAGCTCATGATTATGTGCCTTTACTCCGCCGTTTGGCTGCCAAACCGGCGTTGTGCGTTGCCGAGTGTGTGTGAGACACAAGTGTCCCCTGTGTTGGATCTGCGTTTTTCGTTTGTTTGCCGTAATGGTGATAGATCAGCAATCATATTTATGCAGCGAGTGGATCATGCAGTGGCGCTGGGAGAGAGGGAGAGTGAGGGAGGGGGGAGAGGGGGGACGACAACTTATTCTGTGCAGCTACTATCGGCGAGACTAGGTTTGGGGACGCGCAGCGCGCACGAACACGCAAAAAGCCTCCCCCTGCATCACCACCACGGCACCATGATCTCCCAACTTTTTAAATAGCGCACACTCTCACCGTGTCTCTCTCACACACACGCGCACACATACATGCACGTACACTACGGATAAGGTGGAATTTCGGCTGTTCACATTTACGCGCAGCTATTGCGTCCAACGTGATTCCCCCCTAACCAGATTACTCCATCCCCGGGTTCACTGCAGCATCGTCCCCCCTCTGCAACACCACTTCTCGATTAAACGGGCTACTCGCTTCGTTTTCAGCCATCCCAGCCACAGGAGACAGACCTCGTTCTGTTACATCTCTCTGGCAGATGAGACAATGTTCATCATGCGGGTTAGCAAGGGAGAGTGGGGGGACGAGGGGGCGACGTGATCATTTTCTTATGATGTTTTTGTGATGGAGAATCCAGGGGCGGCAGAGGTGCGAGCAGGACACGTATATGGAAAGGGACCCGGCTGCACTGCACTAATGCAAATCCTGCAATTGAGCAGTGCAAATATTCACCGTTGTCTGCACACTGCCAATTAAACGAAACAACTGCTGCTCCTCGGTGTGCAGGGGGATGTTTATTTCAACAGGCTGCTGGTGTGAAGGGGAGCATGCAGTGCAGGATACTTTTCCTCAGGTTGTGGGTTTGAAGATGATGTGCTCAGCAGCAGCACAGTTCCTCCACACTGCAACTGCAGTATAGTAGATCATCATCATACTGTGGCGGGACTGTCTTAGCAGGCTGATGCTGCAGGAGCAACCACCAAAACACTGTCTACTGTCACTCACCAGCTCTGACCACTATTTTATAAACCTCTGTTTCCTCAACATGACTATTTACACCACAGGTGACAAGTCAGAGTGTAGTTCCCAGCCGGCCTCTGTGTGCTGTACGGGCCTTTGAGGGTGCAAAGTGGACTGCAAGTGGGATTCATACGGACCTATCCACAGATTCTGTATGAACCTCATGGGGATCATGTGTGGGTAAATGAAAAGTGGCGACTGCATGTGGTCCATGTATATGGCCTTCACACATGTCCACTTTGTAGCTCCAGTAAAACCACTGACATGAAGGCTTGGTTAGGCCTGCTCTATGCTTGTCATATAGCATCTGTTATTCTTTTAACATGCAAGATTTAGTACTTAGTGCTTTCAGTGCTGACAGTGCTAATGTGAAATACAGTCTAAGCTAGCTCTAGTCAGAGGATTCCAAATACAGATTAAAAACACCGTCTACAAAAAAACGCTGCAGCTTTGCCTTCGGTCTATCAACAGAACAGCTGTTTCATGTGGTAGGGCTAATGGTTGTTAACAAAATAGTTAACAAACATGGGGAAAGTGTTAGCTCATGGCTTGGCAGCTAGGACCAGTTTACAGCCAACGGGCAAATTGTTCATTTTTATCTGTTAATCTGTTTGATGTTAAACTCACTAAGTCTTGACGTTTTCCAGATCACATTTCCATGTCTTTCTTGAATAAGAAATTAAGTTTCATTCTGTTGCGATGACCATTTTAAGTTGGTGCATAGAGTCCATTAAATGAGTGCAGTATGTTTTTGCTTCATTACTGTATAACAATCTTCTACATGCAAAAATCAGTTACACATGGTGAGAAGCCAGGCTAAGGCCAGGGACTGGTCACATGGCATCTTTCCCTGCCCCACATACTGCGATAACTTAAGGTCTTTACAGTAAGTGGCATCCCATGGCGTCATCTGGTATAGAAAGATTTAGCACACGAGCAAAATGATGTTAATGATGGTCTGCCTAAAAACAGATGATTGTGTAATACAGTCTACAATCTTGATTATAACTGGTGAAAGGAAGTATGGTCAGATCACTGTTGTAGCCAGTTACGTCACCAGCAAATTACTGACAGTTTCTACTTCATATCTAGGTCAAGAGTATAATTATTGGTACTGTTTGGAATTTGATTGGCTGGCTGCTGCTTAATCAAATAGCTGCAGGGAGACGTGGAGGCAGAGGTAGTAAAGTCATGCTCAATACCATTCATCTTTTTTGAAATTGAATCCATTGTAATAAGCAAATAAGAAGCAGTCATTATTGAAGCTGATGGTGTTGCCCTATCAGTCAACCACTGAGCAGACGTAGCAGAAATGACGAGTATTTTTGAAGTAGGTCTGGGCAACTGACGGCAGCTAACTTTTTATAACCTGACAACATTAAGCAACAGATTTTAGTTTTTGCTGCGACTAAAATGCCCCAAGGGATTTTCCGTTTTCCTTTTTTTCGTCGTATCTCAGCTGAAGAGGATGGAGATTCCTCAGAGTGGCCCTCTGTCAGCACATGCAGGTGTTTCCAGCACCACGCTGGCTTGGCTTGGCTTTGGCTGGAGCTGCAGAGGCCCAGATATAGTGCTCTGGCACGTTGGCTTTATTTTTAGTAAAGTATCATAACTGCACAGATAGACTGTGACACACAGATAGATGAGGCCAAGCAGACTGTGTCGAAAAGACTGACACTTTTGGCCAACATGCAAAGACCAGCTTTATTATTTACCCACTGCTCTGTGACTGCTCTTAACCACTGTTGTAAATTGATACTCTCAGCTCATGCTGGTATTTTATATCCTGTAGTATGCGTCTATTTTAGAAGTTGGGATTGTTTGTGTGTATGTGTGTGTGTGAGTTGGGAACGTGCATTTTCAACGTCATATTTGATACATCATAAACTTGCACTATTAAATATTCAGTCCCTCTTCTCCGACTAAGAGAAAAAGCCTCAGTCTGCTGGTTTTGAAGTGCAGATACAATACATACAGTATGTGTGAGGTATCTCTCCAATCACAGACTTTTGTATGTGAAAGCACTGTGCGGTTGTTGCTGACATCAAATAGATCAAACAGATCAGACTTTCTAGCTTTAGCTATCCATTGTTTTTAAGATCACATAGAAATCCAGGAGATGCTGCACCTGATGCAAGTGAAACATTTGGTCAGAGAGTTGCAGCAAAGACAGTCTTTTTTTCTCCACACGAGAAAAATTTCCATCATGAAAAGACCAAATGTCCTCTTTAAGCTTTGCAAAATTGCCTTGAAATAGCTTTGCTAAGCTTTTACAGCCACCGACCTGTTAATCTTCTCCCAGCTGTATCACTGTTTTCCAGCAAGTTGTTTCAGCGATGTTAGTTTGTCCTGAGGCTTGTTGGTCTAGAACAGCTGACATCGCTGACCTACTCTGTTCAGCATGGATACATTTCTGTGAGTGACTGTACTGTACTTCAGTAAGTCAATGGTGTAATGAAGTCTCTGAGTGGAAATGCAGCAACTTTCACCCCTGCAGCCTGTGTGTCTTACATAGGATATCTTGTAATTGTTGAGAATATATTTAAAGTTGGGAGCAACCGCTGCAGTCAATGATGCTTAGTTAGTTATTTAGTATTTGGAAATAAACACCCTTTAGACAGAAATGAACCCAGAGCCTCTGGACCATGTTTGGTCATATTCATCTAACATTTTAAATGGCCTGTAAGATACCATCTAATGTCTCCAAGAATTTGTCTGATGCTATATGCACCTCTGACACATTCTAACTGCTGAACTAGAGAGTGATATGGATGGAAGTATGATTGGCAATGGAGATTAGGAATGAACTAGGAACCCAATCCAAGGTGCAGGATTCTAGCTGTTGTAATAGGAGCTATGGATGCAGTTGCTAGGGTATGAGCATGTTTAGGTCTTATATGCTCTTAATGTAAATATTGTTGAGTTATTGGGCTGGACAATAGTGGACCCTTTAGTTCCACTGGTGTCTCATGAACATCTATTGTTATCGGCCACATATGATGTCAATATGATGTCCCAGTACAGTTCATCTAGACAGAGAAGGTGAGGGACAAAGACAGAGAGAGAGGAGTAGGTGGATGATAGGTGGAAGGTAAAAGTAGCTAACTAGCAAAGCCGGCTAAAAGTGAGCAACAGCCAAACATTTATTTAAATAATACGATAATTATGAAAATTAAACTATTAGTTATAGTTATTTAACAAATAGATACACTTTTTTTTACCAAAAATATTAAAATAGAAGCCTAAAAAGGGCTTAGAAAAGCCTTCATTTCAAGTTCTTATTACGTTTTATGCTGCAGCCCATCAATCTCAGTGTTTGAAATTATGTTACAAATGTAGAATTATGACCAACTTTTATTTAATTATCTGACTAATATGTATTCAGTGACTGAGATCAAGTTGTTTGAGTTTTGAAAAATTGCTAATTTATCATATATTATTGTTATTAATGGACCAAATGGCCCTTGGATGATATAACGTCTGAACGTCTCACTGCCAAAACATTCTTTGAAGCTTTTTTACTTGAGTGTTTTGATATATACTGTACATTTTCCTGCTCTAACTTTTTCATCTGTCACATTTAGAAATTTCTCCTTCCATTTAAAGGAGTTACGATTAATTGTGAAGGAAAACCCACACTAATTTGTGTTAACAAAGACACAGTATGTAATTAGAGGGGAAGGCATGATTCAAACAAAAACTCCTACAATTTGAATAACAACAGGGTTGGCTAAAAATATACTCCTCCAACCAGCCAGGCATGTTGCTAGGTTTCATTGCGAAACATTGCAAGAAGTTTGTAAAAAGGACAAGTGACGGTGACTTTCCTACCAATATCAGGTATGATCATCAGGAAGTCGAGCTTCAGCTCACACATTTCAGATTTAATCCGGAACATCTTC